TTTGCTTTTCATTCACGCTCTCACTCTCTCTCTCTCTCTTGCCTTTTTTGCCTCTTCTTCGCTTCATTTTTGATGTTGTGTGATTTGAATCGGTATGACAGAATGTTCCGATCACATCATTATAATCATTGTGGCGCGCCGAAGAGAAAATTAGACACGTAACATTGCATCCATAGGCGATTTATTTATAGTCTGGCTTTTGGCATGTTTTCGTCTGGTTGCATTTTACTTTGAAATCACAAGCCGTTGACGTTGCCGAAGTGCACAAAAGAAGCCTATTTTCAATCTCTGGCTTTTTCGATGTGAGTGTGTAGTCAAGCACAAAAAAATATTTTGCACTCGAAGAATCATAGAGAGCGAGAGAGAGAAAATCTACACCGACACACATAAACATGGCTCGATTGTAAAGTAAGTGCCGTTGCGGTAACCGTCCAAAAGTCAATAGCTCGAATCATCAAAGCAAACAAAATGAAACGCCAGAAGGCGAAAAAAAACCCTGAGCCAGACACAACAAGACCAGAACTTTTACATAAAACTGACTTCATATCAGATATTTTGTTACAACATATGTACCATTCTATCTCTGGCGTATTCTTTTCGCTCGAAATCATCTAAGCGACACAATACGTTCTCTCAGTCTCCGCTTCTTAATCTCTTAACTCTTGGGGAAAAAAGCTTCGAAAAAAGTGAGAGAGCGACCGAGAGAGGGCGGGAGAGAGAAAAAATCCGTTTTGTGTTTTTCAAAGTGGAATGTGTATGAGAATCCCAAAGCCTTTGCAAATGGGAATCTAATTTACACGCTTACATTTACACGCGGTGACAGTGACGACAAGTAGAACAAACAACGGTTTTGTCAACCAAAATAGTAAGCACATGCCCTTACAAGAGACACACAAAAAATATGCAGAAAAAACATAAAAAATAAACAAACAACAACATCAGGCAATCACATGACAGAATCAAAAAACGGTGCGTTTTGCATGTATGTGAAATTAAATAAAAATACATTAAACTGTCAACGTTGTTTGAAAATCAGTACGGTTTAACCACACGGTTGGTATGTATGTTCTGAATCGTTTTCATAGCACACTACAAAACCGCAAGCACCGTAACATTTTCTACCATGGAATTTGATCTCTTTGTCTCTGTCTCTGTCTCTCTTTTATTTCTCTCTCTCTCGTCTCTCGTCTCTCGTCTCTCGTCACAGACCTGACTCACTTTAAGTTCAGTCAAATGTGATCGAGTCGAGTGATTGCGTAAAATTATTATGCCACTTGAAATGTTGCATTATAAAAAGCACTATATAATGTTTCCCAGTAGTAGCGGTCATTGAACAACAAAGCGACACAACCAGAGGCATTGCATAAATGTTTCTATCTTATTTCCGAAACAAATTCAAAACGATTTATAACGAGACGAGAGTTGGAGAAATATCTGCATCTTCACATTTGTTCGGCATGCATTGTTTTTGTTTGAGAACATCATGTGTTTCAAATGAGATTTGCACAAAGCGACTACCATGGTGATGGCGACGACGACAACGATACAGCTAATGCTGTTTTGTAGTCTCATGGCGTGAAATCCAAATCCGAATCAAAATCGCGTTCGTTTCTGTTTTTTTTTCTCGTCACTTTTTCTTCTCATCACATCAACATTGCTTCTATTATTACGAAAATGGCAAAATCTGTATTTAGTTTTTATGCACATGTTTTGGTGCTGTTTATTTTTAGCTAATTTTACAGAAAATGTTAATAAACTCGAAGAGCGTTCACATCACACATTGCAATAATATATGGATTTGTGGACGTTCACAACAAACACCACACACACACATGCATACACCAATGGCAATCAACAGTGTGAATGCCGTTTATTTATAAACGAAATGAAAAAAAAAAGAAAGAAAAATAAAATCTAATATTTTCGCTTACAAAGTTTGATTCGGGGCGCTCGCACCAAATGTAGTGCTCTGTCTTTCGTCGAATAAAGAGAAACGACATCGCTGTGTAGTAGCAGAGAGATGCAAGAATAAGTAAAACAGCAGCGAAATAGCATGCACCATATAAAATGTCTTGTGCATTTTATTTGAAAGATGCACTATATTCAACTGACGTCAAACGCATTGCGATCACAGTGCATTTTCATTTCGATTTCATTTCACAATGATATAAATGCGAATTGCAAAGAGCCTTCTGCAAACGATACGATACGGTGTGTCTATCTATGTATGAGGAGCTTAAGAGAAAGCAATCTCCTTGTTTGTCTCGAAATATCTCGCTCACAGCCGGTTCAATCAGAATGACTTGCTGGGATAAAGTGTCGTGACATTGGATTTTTTGTTATCTCTCTCTCTCTCTATCAAATTTGCTCCTTCTTTCCAGTTGCAATGTAGATGGAAAACTTTTCTTTCGACTCGATGAAGTCATTGCTGCACTAATACGATCCGATTCAGTTGAAGAAACTTCGATAGTAAGAGAGAGAAAAAAAAGCCAGTGGTATAGAAATTCTAAAAATGGTTTGGCAACGGCAAACGAATGTACGAACGAAAGCGAAAAAAAAATTAATGTTATTTTCTTGTTCATGGTGATTCCTTTTCATTCAATTTGTGCATAGTGTGTCCCCAGCGGAGAGTGAGTGAGAATGAGAAGAGAAGGGGTGAGGGAGATAGAGCAAGTGTGCTCGTTTTGCTTTTGTGTGGTGCTAACAAAAATCCATGAAATCCATTAAATGGCCATTTTACAGCGACACGTCGACTGGTAATGAATCGGAATTCAGCGCAATTTTTTTCATTATTGTTGTTGTTTGAGACTAATAAAAACTCATTTAATCAGCATTATCATTTCTCGTTCAATTTCTGTACTACATCATGATTACATTGTTGTTGATGATGTCGTGGTGGTATAACATCATTTCAAGTTCATCTCTTTTCATTCCCGTTCTCGTTCCCGACTTCTTCACCATCTTCAAAATGACAACTTATTGTATCCAAAACGTATTGAAGTGTCGTTAAATTTATGTATATATTTGCATTGACTGTGTACAGTATGCGTGCACGCTTGTAGTTTAACAAACTGTAAGAAATGCGTTTTCAGACTCCCTAATGGTCTCTTTGTGTGTGTGTGTTCGCGCGCGCGATGTATGTGCATGCCACACATGGGCGAATATAGCGACAAGAATTTTTCTTGTCAAATTGATTTACAAGACAATATTCGTTCCGTTTTCACGCTACATTTTGTGTGCCATATGGTATTATCATTGCATGACGTGGTGCAATTTTCAATTTTGCGTTAAAGCGCAGAAAAAAAATACTATAAACAATCACCATGTTTGGAAGAGAGCGAGAGAGAGAAAGAGAACGTATCATGATAGTATATTTTGCTAACCAGCAGATGTGGTGCAATACCAGAATTACTGTCACGTAGCAAAAGAGCAACAGTTTCAATATGTGTGTGTATGTCAACGCAACGCCTGGCTCTTTCGGTAAACAACCATAATATAAAACGAGGCAACGTTAATGCAAAGAGAAAACGAACACTCTTATAAATCGCTCCATTAGGGCACGGCACCGTATAAAGCCACACTACATCTTCTGTCTTCGCATGGACCATCAGACAATATCACCGTTTAATGATCTCATGATTTATGTATAAAGTGAAATTATTATCCCTTAGTAGCATTCGACGAGTGACTTCATCGTCCACTATTGTAAACTAGCCTTGTTTCCATCTCTACTTGCATGTTTCTCGATGTGCACGAGAATTGAGCAATTCTGTAAATAATTTACGAAAATACATTAAATTCTCGTGATCTCATGAACCTGAAGGCGAACCAAAAACGAAACTCAACCAAATTGATACGGAATGAAATCTGAATGAAACAAAGACAAAAACAACCGAGAGAGAGAAAAATGAATAGCAAGATAAAAACATTGTTTACTATAAATACACAAGAGAGAGATAAAATGAACCAAAAAAACATTCAGGCCAAACTATGGCGTGCCATGTGTTATGTGCTTAGTATTTGAAAACGTTAAACAGGAATAAGGACAATAGAATTTCCTTTTTCGTTACTTTGTACCAAACACACAGCACACAAAAGTGAAAACAAGGAAGAAATTATTACAATTTATTTGTTCGTCGTAAACAAATGCGTTTTTAATGTTTAAATTTCGAGCAACCGAATGAAAGGAGAAAAAAAAACGAAGTAAATACCGGCCAACGGTTTTCAGTAATATAGCCAAGGAGACGAAAAGAATAGTGTATTTTGTGTTCGTTTATTCAGATAAAAAAAACAAGAAACAAAAATACAAGTCAAACAAACACAATATGCGAGCATCTATCCAATCAGCAGGCACAGTTTTTGCAAGGTGCTCACCTGGTTTCGTTTTTATCTCTTATTCGCGTACTGATTTCACCTTTGCCGTTGCATGGTCCGTGTTCGTCTGTTTTCACAATTTTTATTGTTTTATTTTATGCCATCATTCACTGCATTTATTTTTAGTCAATTGCGCAAGAGGGAGAAAGAACAAAAGAGAGAGGGAGCGGGAATAAAAGCACAAACAAAAATAACATATACATAATTGTGTTTGCATGTAAAAAACGTTCATTGGACGGCAATAAACATGAAACAGATGGTTTCCGTCAACAACGCAATAAAAATTGCCATGTTGTCAAAAAAATGGATGTTATTTTGTTGAAGAGCACGGCCAAAAGACGCAAAAGGGAGATCGACTTGGAGATTGCGCTTTGCAATTCCTCTATCTATCTATCTATCTATATAACTTTCGATTGAATGCTTTCGTTGTTGTTGGTGTTTTATCACATTTTAAAAATGATAAAAATTAGGGATAATTAGAGTATCATATGTCCTATTCAATAAAATACTAAAATTATACACATATTGTTTGCCATAGAATAACATAGACTTCGTGATGCGAATTATTATAATTTTTTTTACTAATGAACGTTATTTTTTATTTTCATTGTCTTTTCTCTTAATAGGCTGCCATTTTACAACAGACCGCTCAATACATTATCGCATTGGAAAGTGAAAAAACACAATTACTTACACAAAATTGCCAGTTGAAGCGATTGGTCGATCAAAATGATAATGCTGGTGTTGTTGAAGTAGTGCAAACAGTGACCCCAACAAATACAACAACCACCGGAACTACACAACAGCCGCATGCACTAAAGAAACGTAAAATTGACACGATCTATACAATGCAAACGATATCCGATTCGTCCGACGAAGGTCTTGGTTCAATGTCACCCGAACCAACCACAGTAACATTGTTGTCATCATCGACGTCATCATCGAATCCAACAACAGTTGTTGCCGGCACTGCAATGATTTCAAAACAAACAAATGGAACGATGAATGCCAAAGAGTTCATCGAAATGAAAACATTGCTCGAAATGGAGCGTCGCAAAAATTCAGCGCTTGAAGATCGTTTGCGTCAGCTAACTGAATGCCATCAAACGACCACAATCTATACGAATGGTGAACGAATTAGCTACGAACCACATGAAGTGATCGAACACACCGACAATTTACGCCATGCGGACGAACAGCAACAACAACATCAGCAACAACAGCAGCAACAACAACAAGTTCAAACTGTGCTGGTCGACAAAGTCCATCATAATATGCAAAATGTGCATGTGCTTGCAATCGATACAATTCCAACAGTTGGCCAAACACAGGTGGTTATGTGCGCGCCGGTTGAACATGATGATGTCGAAATGGTCGAGACCATGTCACGTATGCATCGCAATCAACCACAAATTGATGATGATGATTCGCGTACATTGTCACCATGCGATATGATGCATCAAAAAGAGGAGCTAATCATAAACAATAGCCGACCACAATCACCATACATTGAAAGTCATCATATACAAACACATCCGATGGTCGCACATAAGGGCACAATTCGATTGCAACCAATACTTGAGGCTGCCATCAAAGCCGAACCAAAAGTCGAAGTCGAACGCATCCATTCGCCGGGCAGCATGACTGTGCTCAAAGATTGCAATAATGATGCCATCGCCACAAATGGCACAACGGTGAATCAAACACAATCCAGAATGTTCATCACACATCAGAACACATCACGACAGAATTTGGAAACCATTGTCGAAGCCATCAGACGTAAGTTATTACATTTTTATTTTATTTTATTTTTCATCATTTATGCCTTCAGTTAAAACATGAAAACCATCGAAATAACGACTAACCAATATACCAATATGCGATTTGTTGTTTCGTTTACAGACTTGGAAGGCGATCAATTGTTTGGCGAAATTGAACCAACCGCCCAACCGACTCAAGAGGCTCCGCTTGCCCTAACCAACAAACCAAGCCAGCAACAGCAGCATCATCATCATCATCATCACCATCATCAATCTCAGCCCATTCAAGTCGAAATGAATCCATTCTTACAATTTCGCACAACATCATCAAATTCAAGTGGTGCAACAATTGTATCACAAATTCATCCACATCATTCGATCAACAATCGGCCGGGCGTCATCGTTGTTAAACAAAATTCTTGAGCTGCTCACAGCAAACAGCATACTACGACTTTACAATTGGGATCTAGTGCAGCAGCGTACTATAAAAATCAAACTATTATTTGGCCATCAGCATGAACACGCTTGCAACGCAGAACTCAAATTTAAAATTAAATTTTTATTAAACATTTATTATTATTTTCATTTTTCTTTCGGAATTAAGGAGGAATCCATCAATGTGTATATTTGAGGATTATTATTATTATTATTATATTATTGGATGATAAGTTTTAGAGTACGCAAGCGTATAAGTATAATGTTAAAGCAAAAAAAAAAGTTGAAAAGCTGCAAAAAAAAATTCAGTTGTAAAATTTAATTTCAAACACAACCGAACACAACATAATACATTGAGGGACAACGTGTACGTTTAAAGAGGTACACGTTACAATTCGAAAATGATTCGAATTTATAAGAGTTACACATTCAGACCGTATTGAGTTATTATGTTCATTTAATTCGTTTTGTTCGAAACAAGGAGGGAAATGATTATTCAAACGACGAAATCGACTGATGTCGTTCATCGAACTAATATCAATTTTAAACTAAAACACACACACACACTAAACGTAAAAATGTCACATGTAGATGTTTTTGATGAATGTATGCAGAAAATAAGTAAAAAAAATTTCATAAATAAAAATTCAAAGCTGGCGGGCAGAGCAAAAATGGAATATTTGAAGAAAAAAAAAACGAAAATTAAAAAACTTCGTCATCAATATATTTACAAACACTCGCATAGCACACAAGTAAACAATTCTAGAAGGTGACGCTAAATATTTGAAATGGTATAACTATGCTACTCTATACACATACACATACACACAGAGAATTAACCTTACCGAGCATGCTATAGCAAAAACAAAAAACGGCTTGGAGTTTGTATTTTCAAGAGCTTTGAAAGTTACACGAAACATAAATCGTATGTTAACAATTAAAGCTTATCTCACACACACACACATCCAATGTAAGCGTTAACGGCAAAAGTTATTCTGAAACATTTTAATTATCCTTTTACCAGTTGAAGTAGATGCTCGCTTGCGACACAGCAACAGACCGAGTGACAGAGAAAGAAGATGAATAGGATGAACGGAATAGCTTAAATTAAGTGAAAAAGATTAGATACACAACAGTGGCTAGGAAATGTGAAACAACTTATACATGTTGAGAAAGACACGTATACAAAATATGCAGAAATTCATGCTGATATTGAGACGAATGAAATGCATAATGATTTCGATGTTTTAACAAGTCGGTTGTAACAAACAAGAAAAGTTTAATTGGATTTCGATTCTATTCACCCCGAAAAATGCTGCAACAAACATCTATACACCAGATGAGAACAAAATTTTAATGACGTCAATAAATCCTTGCATTTTCATATTACTACTATTAGAGATAGATAAAAAAAAGCGAAAAAGATAGAGAATTGACAAGCACACTCAATTTTAGCGAACCAAAACCGATATATACACACACATACTAACATTCACACCGATAAAAAAAACTACACACATAAATGAAACGATATCGATAGAAAATATTGACAACATCGTAAAATAGTTTGATGTAATTTAAAACGTGTAATAAAAATAGAAAAAAAAGGAAACGAAACATTTGCAAAACAAAATAAAATGGTAAAATAAGCACAGTTTACAAACAACAACCAACAAACAAACATCCTAACATTTCTTTTTCATCGAGCTCATGCTCTAGAGTGAGCGAGAGAGCAAGAGAAATTGATCCGAATCACAACAAAAAAATTTTTCGAAAATATATTCGTAGCAACAAAAAAAAAATCAGAAACACACACTCACACTACAAAGCAACATGTGTAAATAAATATGGGAGAAGTGCTTAACTGAAAAGTCGCTGGTTGAAAATAATACTATAAAAACCATCCGAATACAGATACGGAGAATAAAAATGTGCTAATGAAATGAGCTAAACATTCAACGACATACAAAGTAACGAAGCAAAGAAATGCGTTTTAAAAATCGACAATCAACTTACTTCTGTTGAAAGAAACAAACAAAAAAAAAGTTATTACTAATAGTCATACACATACGAGAAAAGAGATAAACCGAGCAAAAACGTATATGCATTTTGCTTACAACACACATTTAAATAACACGTATTGATCAAATCAATCAACAAATCGGTGCAGAAACAACACAATTAATACATGTTGATTTAGTAAAATTTTGGAACCAAATTTAGCGAAATTTGAAACAAATGACAATTGTTTTTTAAAACAAAAGATTTTTTATAGTCAAATGTTGAAAGAAGAAACAAGATTTAAGAAAAACCACATTAACGAATCTTAGAGATGCATTTTTTTATGAAGTATTAAAATCATACATACACACAAGACTCAATTATTTAGACAAAGAAGGTTAAAACCAGCGACTTAAGTTACACACATACACACATTTTATAGATGAATATATAAAAAAAAACAACAATCGAAGTGAATTGCACAACTAAAAGTGAATTCATGTGAAAAAATTAAGTAAATTTTATTCACACCGATTGAACTAAAAAAAAACCTAAAAATAAACAAGTCTTTTTTGAGAATAAGTAACTATAAATACAAACAAACAACAAAACATAAACGGTTTCATTTTCTCCAGTAAACATGAACACCAGACACACGAATTACGGCGTGCAATAATGCTTTTTAATGAGCGTATTTTACATTAAATTTAGGATCGAACAGGACGAATTCGACGATCTCAAAATACGCCCCCCCCCCCCGCCCCCCCGACAAAATACACACAGAAAAAGTTAGAACACATAGCACTTACCACCACCCGCACTCCCTAGTCCCTTCCTCTACCTCCACCACCTCCTGTCCAACAGAAAAACACATTAAAGGAATTCAATTTCTATAGCCATTAGAATGACGTTTAGACAACACTTATATATATACATATATACAAGAGACACATTTAATCCATGAAAGAATATTGTTCATTGAACAATCTCAATTGAAATGAGATAAGAATAATTTAAAAAGCGATGGATAAAAAAACACATACAACTAATGGTCATCATAAAAAATAACTCTACAGCATATTCAAAATGATAGTTCGTCTCTGTCATTTTGATGAGTATGAAATGAAACGAATCGAGTAAAGAAAAAGAAAATATTAATTATTATATTATAATAAAGAAAAACATAGCTAAATAGATGTTTAAGCATACAGAATAATGAACTTTTTGGTTCGCATTAGCATTTCGTACTATACGTATAATCACGAATTTAGCGAAGTGTTTTTTTTCGGCCACAAAATATACACAAACACTCAATAAATGTTGTTAACATGCATATAATAAACGCAAATTCATTCAGATTCAAAACTATAAATTCAATGTGAAAACATAGTGGCAAGATGAAAGAAAATGAAATCATATGTAAAGATATATTTATTTTAAGTAAATCAATTTTCAGTTCCTTAAATTGCATACGAAGCGACAGATGGCAATAAAACAAAAATAACAACCGAAAAACATACATACATAAATATTTGGTATTGTCGCTGCATTGTGTTAGTATAAAAAATTCAATTAGCTGAATTTGCTATAATTTCACTTAATCAATAATTTAAATCGTTATTTTTAGGAAAGAGAAAATCGAAATCACAGAGATTTTTTTTGTTTAATTAATTGGTTGCCAGGATTTACATGTTTTCTTGATTTGACCCAACATATTCGTTATTCATTGACAATCGGTCAATACCGAGAGAAAGAAAACACGAATGAAACATTTGAATATGCCACGGCATCATAAATCAATGCAAATCCTGTGTAATTGTTCATTTTTGCCATGATAAAATAAATAGGTACATATGCCTATATACGAAGTCCTATTATTCTCTCAGCGTTTTAAAATAACAAATTTATATCTCATCGCCCCCCCCCTTCTCGTTCATGTCTTGTTTTTGTTTTTCTTCTTCTCATCGAAAACTAAAATCCATAAACTCTATTACAAAATCATTAAAAAAATAAACCACATAGTCTCCGCCGCGATAAATTGAGCCAAATAGCAAATGAATTAACAAAAAAAAAAAAATCCATAGCATAGACAACAAAACATATATAAATTCGTTTCGAAGTGAATTTAAAATGAACCAAATGATTTATTTTTATTAATTTCTGTGAAATTTTCTATACACCAATATTACGATAATTATTTTAATCGGATCCATCCCCCCCATAGAACTGAAACAATCACATACATACACCACGTGGCAAATGAGCAACATTTTAAAAAAACTACCTATGTATTCGCAAAATTCATTTTCATTTTGTGCAACAACAACAACAAAAAACATACATATAAACACAAAAAACCGACAAAAAGAAACACCCTTCCAAAAACAAACCATTTTATTTTAAAAAAACATTCTTTTTACCCTGAATCACCTTCTTCTCAAATACACATTTTGTCATTGGGTAAATATTGCATTTTTAATGTTCTTAAATTTATAGATTCATAGGAAACTGATGCAAAAAAAACTAAAAAATTGTGGGTTGAAAAAGAGACCCGCACAGAAAAAAAATCGAAAATAAAAACTTTAATGAAAATAATAGCAAAAAAAAAACACATAAAAAATAACAATATAGACTATATGCATAAGAATTTAGCAGTTAAGGTGTTTCTTTGATAAATGATGAGAATTTCACATGGCTTCATTGACATACCAAACAATTATTTTATACATCGCAAGTATATCCACTTAATTCCGAAATTATATGAAATGAAACAAAAAACACGTTTGTTGCAACAAAAAAAAAAGAAGAAATAATCGTTTGGTATTGATATTGAACGTAATGAATATTATAACTAAAACGGAAAATTTTCCTGTCATTTATCACAGGCTTATTTATTTCCGAACATTTTAATTGTTAAAATTATTAGAAATTTTATCAACAAAAATAAAACAAAATTCTATTTTGTGTGGGCTAGAATTTTAAGCACACAATATTTTGATTGAATCGTCAACATTTAAACGAAACATAAAAAAAATTGATTAAAAAATTTTCAAAAAAAAAAAAAAAATACGAAAAAAACATTGATATGGAATTGGCACAGACTGGCAAATGAGTATTGGCATTGAATTTGTTCCTTCCTCTCAGACTCAATCCCAAGCCCCATTTTAGAAAATTCATATTGGCAAAATTTGTGATTTATTTTAGTGAAAAGAGAAATTGAAAAGAAAAAAAAAAGAATTAGGCACATGTAGAATATGTGAACGACAAGCGCATTCATTAAGTTCGATTGGTCACGAATTTTGCATTCAAAAGAATGTAAATACATACAGTATGCGTTAGATTTTCGTTCGTAGAACATTCACTCCATTTTTATTTTCATTTTTAACTTAAATTTAAATTATCTAAATTAACTAAAAAAAAATGTTTCACAACGGTAGATTATGCGCAGCTTAAAGTTGCCACAATCAACAATTTAATTAAACATAATTATCTTTCTGTTTAGACAAAGTAAAATAAAAACTAAATTAATTCCTTATAATTTTAGTTGGCCAAGAGCCACAATTGGTTTTAGCAAAAAAAAAAAATACTATAAAAAATTGGATTGATTTGTGATTTCAAAAAAAAAAAAATCAAAATTGAAATTTTTTTTTGACCAAACCGAGAAAAAAAAGAAATATATTTTTAATGATTCCTTTCGGCGTTATTCGGCATGTTAAATGAAAAAAATTGATTGGTGAAAATGAATGTAAATTGATGAATTTTGTTAAATATGGTGAGGTTTGTGTGTGAGAGCGAGAGAAAAGAGTAACCCTTTTTGGAGTAAAGAAAAAAATGACGAAAAATTTTTCGAAGAAAAAAAAATTGATAAAAAAAATCTCATTTAATATAAAATATGTGTTTGACGTGTTTATGTGCATTCGTGAATAAGTGGTCGACTAAATATAATCAGTTGATGGTTATAGAAAAGAGCCCAGCCACATCCCGTCCATGTAAGCGCTAAAGGGATTAACCGTCGCTTAATGAATTATGGAATTCACGATGTGAATGTAGGGGAGGCGAGCATTTCATTTGGAATCGCTTATTATATTTAGTCGGCTGATTGTGAGTGTGCACATTTATATATCTAATCTAATGAGTTATACGATAATCCATAAACATTCATATAGAGAAATTCACTTGAAATGAATCATAAGGAAGCTGAATGGAACGTAAACAAAAAAAATTGAATTACAGCAAAAACAAAATTAATACAACTAATTTATAAGGAAAACACATACACGGATTATTACAACAATATACAATTTAAGGAAACAAAATTTATGGATAGACTATAAGGCACATAATTATTATTCAAAAAGAAAAAAAAATGTACATAAACTTGACTTGAAATATACTACTATACACTACTTATTAATCATCTGGCGTTCATTTTACTTTTCAAATTAAGTTTCTATTAATATATACATTTTCAGTTTACAAACATTGGCGAAATTTGTTTAAGCTTCTTTTTCATACATTTAAAAAAAACTTTTTTTTGTTTCGAACCAACAAATAATTGAACAAAACAAAAATCTTGAGTAATAAGTGCACTCACACACATGCTGTGGAGTGCACACTCTGCACAAGTCAATTTAAAATTTATTTCACTACGTTTGTAAGTATATGTTTTTACAGTCAGTAAACACTGACACCAAAAATCTTTTCAGTTGTTGGTTACATTATTATTTTTTGTTTTCTCTTGATTTTTCCATCTTTTCGATTTTAAGTTTTTTCCGACACCCCGTTTCCCTATCACACACTCCCTCCCAAAAAAAAACAAAACATTAAATTTCCGTGAGACAACACAACAAAAAGTCAAAAACTATAATAATCGTATTATATCATAAAATAATCGACTTTTAGAAATGAACGGTTTCAAAATGCAAGGAACATAAGAAGTGTCAGGTTTTGTCGAAAATAAAGTTTTAACAAAGGATCGACAAGCACATATAGAAAGCAATGTTCAAAAGAAGATGAAAAAAAAAATACAAAGGAGAAATGTTCCACTTTGGATGGACTTAAATAAAAGAGAAATAGAGAATACTGAGTTTGATATTTCGAAAGCAAATCATTTACTCAAAATCTCATAACATAGCATGTCCTCCAAAGAAAGTTGAATAACTTGTTGGCGTCTCTAAAAATAAATACAAAGTTTTAATAAAGTGTTCATATAATCGAATTTGTGTATGATTTGTTATCTTTCTGTGACCCCATCAACCCCATCCATCTCTAGGTATTTTCTTGCAGCAATTGCAGTGGCTCGGTAACCAACGGGTAATAATTTAACAATGTTGCATGGCTTATCACTGTGACAACGTAGTGACTAGTTTCAATTTTGATTTTATTTATTTGCTCTATCATTTGCAACCATCACTTCATTCTTATGAAGAATGCATCTTATGTCCAGCTGTGCATTTAAAGTTTTCGCTTTGCTTTTCGTATATGTCTTGTAGGTAACTGTGATGTATGTTTCAATAAATAACACACTTTGTTGTAGCATATTGACAGCGGTGTTCAACTTTGAAGGTGTCCTCTTTCATTTATTTATTTATTTTCATATGAAATAGTTTTTGAATACTTAATACACTTGAGATACTCAAAAATTTAAATTTAACCATTTTGCATCTCTGTTTCTTATTAGTTATTACTTTGATCTATGTACTGATGTAAATAATAAACGGTCTAATAACTCCTTATATATTAAAAACCTTATTAAATTGTCATAAATCCAGTGGTATTAATGTAACCTTGGTTATTCCATAAATTATACATCTTCGAACCACATAGTTTCTGCTTATAAATGTAATCAATAACATTATTATCCAGTAAATATTTGACCGATAGACCACGGTCGCAAATGGAGTTTTGCCAATGTTGAGCTTATTTGAATCGAAATCGTATTGTCAATGATTGTTATGTTCGCGTGTAAATCGAATTCACATTTAAAACGGTACAGATTTCATTTTGATAGTTAAACTTACTGAAAGTCCAAATCACACCATTAACCAATATTACGAATCATAATTATCTGTTTAAATAAAGGAAAGTATAAAAAAACGTAAAAGCCATGACGTTTTTTGACGTTGAAACCAAATTTTTTGGTGTCGATTTTGAAAAAAGTCCAAAAATGCTCTCCCTTTAACTGGTCTAATGCGAATTTTGAATCTTGAAATTTGTATTTGGCGGAAGTCAGCTTGGAATGATTTCGTTTGTGCCATTTAATATTGAGTTGAGGTTGTTCTATAATTAGATATAATCAACTTTGAATTACTTTTCGGTCTAATAATGCATGAAAACAAAAGTAATAAACTACTACTATGTTTTCTTCAACATTTTTTTATCGACTACTGTCCATTGTATAATTTCAATTTTACTCTAAATAAAAGTAAAATATTCACAAAACACACGCACTTAAAGAAAAATGACTTATAATATCGAATTTTAATCATTTTTTTTAATTTCGTAAAATGTATTTTCTTTTGTGATAACATCAAATGAAAATCGAGATGGATAGCCTCATATAAAATTTATTGTTTCTATTCAATATTTGCAATACTTTTTATTACACACTTCACTACAAATTGTTTGGTAACAAATTCTATTCTTTTCTCTAATGACAATTTAACTTGAAAAAATATTCTAATGCTGTTAAAATGTTTGTTCGACCAAATCAATGATAAATTGGTCCCATTTGATTTGCCATTTGGTAAAGGCTGTTGTTTTTTCCATATCGTTTAATGAACTATACTGGATCGAATTGATTGCGAGTTTTTTAAGAGTTCTCAAATCACTGTGACGGGATGCAATGCCAAGAAATGTCATGTAAAAGTCGTGAGACAGTGGAGACACCTCCCAAAATCCTGGATCATCTGATGAAATTATGATGGGCACATTTTGTGCAATCAAAACTGACGCTGGGTGATTACGATAATCATCAACAAGTTTGAGAACTTGATTGGAGATAGGATTTACTTCGACTGCTATATTGTTACGTTTAACAAATTCCATTAATTTTGGATGTTTGGTCAAAGCGTAACCGTGACCTATTCGACGACTTCCCATCAAAATTGTGTCGAACTGCGCATCACAAAAAAAAAGAAAATTGAAACAACAAATCTAAATGACCAAGTATCATATTAGCAAATTTGAGGTACTTACCAAATTTTCATCGACACTACCGAACCAGTTGGTCTCACCGGCATGGAAGAAAAGATTCAAATCGGCAGGTAATTGTAAAATTTGTTTCGCTACCAAAAGCAGACCGGGAGTTCTATCTTCCTGTCCAACCAGATCAAATCCACGCAAGATATGCGGATATTTTTCATGCGATTGACGAGCCAAATCGAAATATTGTTGTGCAATAGTTTCATTTGCTACCTTATATTTTCCTGGTGCGTAGATAATTTTGTATCCGATGAAAAGCGGATTTTTACGCTTAAATTCAACCAATACTTGTTGATAAACATCAAAAATTGCCATTTCTGAATAGATATTTCCATCCAAATCATAGAGCTATTGATGAATGAAAGGAAAAGAAGCAATCAGTGGTTATACATTTCGAACATTTGAATTAAAATACAGTTTACCTTTGGAAAACTGCTTCTAATTTCTGCATATTGAATACCATCGTTTTGAAATTCTTTGAATGCATGTTTTAAGTATTCCTTGAAAATTGGCGCATAACTTAAAAGAGGTGTAATTTTTATGAAAATATTCGCAAAACGATTCCAAACTTCATTGACATCCCTAAATTGTATTCTTGGGTCAATATTCTTATCGAAAAGCGTAAATACTTTGCGAACATATTGATCGTAATTGGATGCACCCATTTCGGCACGTACATCAGCCACAAGACGCCATTCATCATTTTTGCTCTGCAATTTTTGTGGCTTTTGTCGTGCAAATTGAAATGTTTCAATTTCACTGTTATTCGTTGACAATTGCCACAAATTTGGCCAATAAGTCAGAGAAACCAAATAATCGGCTGAGCACATGGTCTTTTCATGTACATACAAAAGACCACCTTTCGGCATTTTTTTAATGATTTGAAACAATTTGGAATTCTTTACAATGTCCAATACCTCGAAAATGTGTCGAGATGGATTGAAAAGATGCGGATTAATCAAACCAACTTTAAGCTCATCTTCTTTTGCTTTCATAATTATTTTATTTGCCACTTTTTCGATTTCCGTTAGATTGATATCGTTGCCAAAACTGGAGTTCATCTCTGAAATGAGCAGATCATTTCGCTGGCGATAATACTGTGTTAAATCGACAAAATTCGATTCGATCGAATGTACTATTAACCCCAAACATATTATCCGAGCAATTAGTTTGTTCATCTTAGCTATGGGTATAATTTTTTTGTCAGCATGGAATTTAAAACACAAAAATTAACGAAAAATATTAACTAAACACACGCACCCAAAGGAAAATGACTTGAAATTAACTAATTACCAACAACTCTCGTTGTAACTGATTGTGTTCTTAACTTTCAACGAATAACAGAAAAACCTAATGAAGTGTTCTTTAATTTATATCCAAGACGAGTAGATAAGAGTCTCATTGTCATAAGATTATCGAATTTTAATCATTATTTTCAATTTCGTAAAATGTATTTTCTTTTGTGATAACATCGCCGTTCCTTTTGCTCATTTATCATCTAAAATACTGACCGAATTTCGTAAGTTGTCAAGTGTTTTTTTTTTAGCAAAATAGTGTTGAGTAATAATAATTTTTCTACAATTTATATACTATTATCGATTAATGGAATAATGATGTTCGCAAATTCCGACTCTAAGCGTGTGTATTTCTTGTTCGACTAAGTCAACGATAAATCCCATTTAGTTTACCATTTGTTGAAGGCTGTTGTTTTTCAGTGTTGTTCAGTGAACTATACTAAATCGAATTTATTGAGCGTTTTTGAAGAGTTCTCAAATCACTGTGACGGAATGTATTGAAAAGAAATCCTGTATCATGTCATGAAATTATGATGGACACAATCTAGTTGAATTACATGAACCGGAAATAAACGACATTATATTTTCTTTATTTTCATTATATGACTGAGTACACATTAGAATAGTAAAAAAACTGAAACTAATCTTTCTGTGTACTGTGAATAAAAACTTAATATACATTTGTACATTCAAAACGTTGCAGAAATTCACTCCTTTTTACTGTAAGTCCATGAAGCAACGTTACAAATGTATAATGTAGAGATACAAGGAAAGTGAGCCACGTTATTTGTTAGTATTTGATTTCAATAAAAAAAACTGTAGAAGAAGTAAACATTTTTATTTCAATCGATGATAATTTGATGAATTTGGAACCATTTTCCGCGTGGAAAAAAAGTGACTGACTGACTAACTGGTTAGCTGAAATCGACTGAAATTGAATTTTTTTAACTGAAAACGTCTACCCAGTCGACTTTAGTCGTCTATGTATGTCATTTAAAACAGATGACTAATTTGGGACGTTTTTGTCTATATAGTCAACTGCGATTGAAGTTGAATTAAGTTGTATTTTCCTCTACTAGGATTGACTGAATAATCAGCCAAATTTACTTAAAACAACTTCAATCTCAGTTGACTTTAGCCTAAAACGTGTCAAATAGGTTAACTGACTAGTCAGTTAGTAATTTTCCACAAGGGTTAGAACTGTTTAAATCTTGCAGTGTGATTTATATATATAATAAGTACTTGTCTCTCCACTTCAGTGTTGCAATGTGCAATAGTTGTATACATAAATGTCTAAACGAGAGTAAAAACAAATTTTTTATGACGATCGATCCCCGTTAACATTTACGTTCGAGAGGAATTGATGTTTGTTTTTGTTAACGTTTTTGGATGATTTTTTTAATTTTATTTTGCTTGAATTTTTGGACCATTTTTGGATTTACCCTCCTTAGATCGCCAACTTGAGCCATGTTTGCCAATAAATCAACAAATGAGATAAGACTATAAGTTTAATTTTTTTTCTGATAAGCTTATCGACAGTTTTATCTGTTCCGTCGATTAGGTAACTTTTGTCATAGAAAACTTTCCAGAAAGAGTAAGACAATTCATAAGTAAAGATGTCAAAAATGCAGTACTTTTGTCCAATATCCATTCTACTCAGTTTTATTAGCTTGTGCTTATTTTTTAGCTTGAGTCCACAATTATGCGATGGGTAAGTAAACATTTTGCTATTCTATATTGTTATTTGTATTATGAAATGTGTGTAGAGAGAGTAAACAATGGCCTTAATATGTAGTCGAAAAAATCACGTGAAATAAAAAGATATAATTGTTTAATTTTAAGGTTGCCGATGAACTCTACCATAAAATTGAAAGATTTGCGTGCATTGATGCGCCAATTGCCAAATAATGGTGGTTCAATAAATGCGTACATTATTCCGTCGGATGATAGTCATCAAAGTGAATACATTGGTTCAACAGATAAGCGACGAGCGTTCATCAGTGGTTTTGATGGTTCCGCGGGAACCGTTATTGTTACGGAAAAAGAAGCTTTGTTATGGACAGACGGTCGCTATCATCTGCAAGCTGAACAACAATTGGACGAAAACTGGATGCTGATGAAAGATAGATTGCCCGAAACACCAACTATGAGCGAGTGGCTTATAAATAACTTATCGGCCGGTGATCGTGTCGGTGTTGACGGAAATTTGTTATCGTTTCAAGCTTGGGACACACTCAACCCTGCACTTAACTCAAATGGTATTGTCTTTTCTTTGCCTGATTACATTTTAATCATTTGCATTTTTCATTTTTTTCGCGTTACAATCCAATTTTAGATATTCAACTCGTTTCCATCGATGAGAATCTCGTCGATCTCATTTGGGAGGATCAGCCGGTTAGAAAATTTAATCCGATCATTAGTTTGGATCTAAATATCACCGGTAAAAGTATCGGTGATAAATTGGAATTGATTCGAAAACAAATGCAAGAAAAACATTCGGAAATTTTGGTTGTGACTGCATTAGATGAAGTTGCATGTAAGAGATATATTTTAATTTTTGCCGAAACATATTCCAATGACCAACATTTTTCACATTTTTTCGCGTTAAATTTCAAATAGGGTTAATGAATTTGCGTGGATCAGACATTGAATACAATCCAGTCTTTTATAGTTATGTTGTGTTAACATTGAATGAAGTCTATTTGTTTGTGGGAAAAAATAGCTTACCAATCGGATATGAAGAGCACTTCCGCAAAAACAATGTTTCAATATCAAATTGATTGTTTTACACGTGTTTTAAAAGGTCAAATTACTTTGGGAACAACTGTATTTCCAATCAATGTGAAGGTATACATTACTAGCAGACTTTTGAGATTTTTTATTCAATGTCTTTATTTTAAGGGAAAACTTATAGAAGTACTAGCACGTAAGGCATTATGGGATGTTGGTCTTGATTATCAGCATGGGACAAGCCATGGAATTGGTCACTTTTTGAATGTACACGAAGGGCCCATCGATCTTAGTTTACAAGAAAACATGTTTGTTTCAAATGGTAGATTAATTCAAATGATGGTTTTTCATGTTTTTCTTATCAACATATGTCTAAATAAACATCTTTTTAGAGCGTGGTTACTATGAGAAGGATCAGTTTGGTATTCGAATTGAAGATATTGTTCAAATTGTTCCAGCCAACGTTTCAAATGACTTCAATGGCCGTGGTGCACTCACATTCAAAACGGTTACAATGTGCCCCATTCAAACCAAATTGATCAACAAAAATCTACTGACAGAAAAAGAAGTAAGCACTGATATTTACCACATGAAAAGTGTATGTATTTAAACTGTATTGTTCTTTTTTGCAGCGAAACCATTTGAATAATTATCATGTACTCGTTAGAGATACACTCAAGCCAATGTTAGAACAAGAAGGAGATTATTTCACCCTTAAGTGGTTGGAAAAAGAAACACAACCTATTTAACTGATTTCAACTTTCAATTGAGGACGAAATTAAATCATTTATATTTCATATAATCTAAAATTTAGAATCTAATTAAAGTATCAGCCAATATTCTGATTTCTCAAACATTCACTTTTAAAGCCACCCATAGTCTTTGTTTTTATTTCACTTATGTCCAATAATTCCTTCTAACCAAAGCAAGTAAAAACGATATATACATGCAATTTGTAAACGTTATCTCGATTTTATGATGCAATCAAATTCAGATCAATCTTTCTACTAGAACCACATATCCCAAATGGATATTAACGGGTATTTAAATTAGCTTCATATCCATTTGTTAAGCTTCAGTCAGACACTTATGTACTGTTTTTCACAGCCGTAATTGCGGAAGTAAATAATATATTGAGTATGCGAAAATATAAACTTTTTGAAAATAAACAATTAAGCATGTTCTAATATATTAGAATTCACAATTTTCAAGATCATATGTTTATTTGTTTGTTATCGAAATTTTTGAAAACACGATCAATCCATCTGATCAAACCTAGGTAAAGACAATAAAGCTTCTGATTTTTGGATTAATTTGAAATTGTCCAAAAACAAAAGTTACTCGGAAGCAGACCACCAACGACTGTGTGGCGGTACGATTATTGCGAAGCAATACGTTTTGAGGGCAGCATATTGTTTTTTAAATTATTCGATTCCAGAATCACTGAAATACATACCAGTGATTGCTGGAGTGACGAAACTAAAAAAAGCTGATGTTTATCATAGATTTTGTGTAACGAATTCTCACGATATATTTCTTCATAATTTCCCCCTTGATTTCCCCAACCAGCTAAAAATCCAATTTCATCCGGATATTTATACCATGGACCAAATGTGTGTATGGCCTCCACTAGATTTTCCGTCAATTTCGCGTGATAGTTTCAATATTGCGATATCATTTACAAAAGTGTAGTTATTGAAATTTTCATTTACATATACATTTCTTTTTGTATACATTAAAAGAAGCAAAGGTCTGACGAAAGTGTGAAAGAGTATTGTATACGTTCGCTACACCTTCGTCACACTCTCGCTATACTTTCAATGCAAAATAAGCATTAAGAAATAAACATGAAAATGAAGGTGTGAGCAAAGTGTAGATAAAGTGTACGGTGGTCTGGCATGTTTACGCGGGTATTAAGCTCCTAGGTTTTTAGAGAAGAATAACAATAGCTATGACAGCAGAATTTGATATTATTGATAGAATGACACATATCTTGACTATATCTTTTTTCACAAGATGTCGCCCAAAATAAACTCAGACGTTATGAGATAGATTTAAAAAATAAGATGTCTCCTTCAAATCTTTGGCTTAACAATTCTGGAGCTCAAACTTAGAACATAAATATATAAGGAGAGCAAAACTTTTCGTTTTATTTTTTTCTCAAAATGACTTCCTACAAAAAGGTGTACTTTGGTTTTGGAAAAAAAGTTAACGAAGCTATTTGTTGAACAACAATTGATCCTTTGTCTCTTTAGGCACATCTGTCCATTTCATGCCAATGTAAGTGAAAGAGACTATATTCACCAATACAATGCGAAATTTAAAAAATAGTTGGAACATATTCGAATTTTGTTGATACTTTTCAAGGTAAAAGGCAACTATCTTCGTTTTTCGTAATTGCTTAACAGTCTCGAGTCAAGCCCACTGAAAAAATAATTTCGTATGGAACAGACGTTTACCTTCATTGTGTAGAAGGCAGATGGTGCATTGATCATTCATCTCAGTTGCATATTTGTAGTGAAAGGGAAAAGTTGGTCTTTGAAAAGAAAAATAATTTTTTTATATCCTATTTCCATCATAAATATGAAAAAATCAGTGATTTTTATCATAATTGCAATATTTGCGGTGATTGCAGTAGCAACGATTTTATTTCAAAATAAAAATTCAATAAAGCGCTACATAAAGCGGCATTTTCATGACTTTCCTGATGAAAAACGAGATTATCAACCATATTTTGGTCAACTAAATTTTGCCATTTCTCTATTGGATTCATTACAAAAGGAAAATCCAAATCAAAATATCGTGTATTCACCGCACAGTATATATCAAGCACTTTTATTAGTTTACTTTGGCGCTGGTGGTGAAACAGAGGAAGAACTAAAACATTATTTAGGATTGAATTGGGCCAAAAGCAAAGATGAAGTTGCGAATATATATAAATTGGAGAAACAAGTGCGAGATAATCGATTTCGAAATCAATCAATAATACTTTATTCAGTTAATAGATTATACGTTGCACAGGACATCATCTTGCGGTAATTGTTTTTTTTCTTCAAATATCTATTATCACACTGTTAATAAATGAATATGTTTGTAGTGATTCGGTCAAAAGATTATTGAACGACAGTATTGAACATCTTAATTTTGTTACTGATCCATATCAATGTATACAACATATAAACCAATTCGTTGCAAATGTTACAAAGGGTCATATCAAAAATGTTATCGATGGAGGAATAAACTTAATGTTCGTTATTGTCAATGCTCTTTATTTTCAAGGAAAATGGGTATGTGAATTCAAAGTAAACGAATTTGAAAAAGAAAGTTACGCTCGATTACAAATGGATTGGAATTTTATACTTTTTAGGCTAACAACTTTTATCACACTGGTCGGAATCTATTCTATCCGGCCCATGGCAAACCAGTTTATGTTGATATGATGCAAGGTCGCAGATCGGCCGAATATGGTAGATATTACTTTTTCTCTTCCGACAACCATCAGTTGATTCTAATTTATTTTGAATTAGGTGTAGTAAAAAGTTTAGACGTACAATACCTGAAACTACCATATGAGGGAGCAAAAGGCTCGATTTCAATGTATATTTTCTTGCCAAACATCGATTCGGTAAATATTGATGAAATATTAGAAGACTTTACGGCGGAGATTTTGGATTATGTATTCAGCGGTGTACGATCAATTTACGGTGACGTTGACATTAAACTCCCAAAGTTTACAATTGAAAAACAGTTTCATTTGGAATCGGTATGTTAAAATTTTGGAATTCTTCCGATATTTTTTATTAAATTACTCATTGATTAATTTCCTTTTTTTCTTTTGATTACCCTAGGTAATGCAACGTATGGGGATGAAAAATTTGTTTAAAAATCCAAATTTTAGTGATTTATTTGAATCTAAGGAAAGAAAATTGAATACTAAATTGGTACATAAGGCAAAAATAAATGTTGATGAACGAGGTACAATAGCCGTGGCTACTACAGGTTCGATTTTATGGCCTATATCTTTGAAATATTATAAGGATTTTTATTGTAATCAACCGTTTTTGTATGTAATTCATGATCAAAAATTCAAAGAAATCTTATTTGCTGGCATTTATTACGGACCCAACTTATAGGGATTCAATAAAACTTAAGAACGAAATAGAAAATGTTCAAACGAAATATTTTTTTCGAGGTAAAAATCACTTCTAAAAATTACTTTTACAATTAGCTTTGCAATTACTGTTTTACAAAAAAAAGTAAGCTTGCGTACGTAAGCCTCTTTATTTTTAAAAAAGAAATGGAAAGCTATAACTTTAGATATCTGTATAACTAAGAAACTGGGTACATAAGACGTTTGCTTCAAAATCTGATTCAAAAAATGAGAATGTAATAAATTAAAACAAAAGTTTTCTGACATTTTATTGTAGCGATTTATTTTGTTTGTTTTTGTCTTATGCAATAAAATAGATAGAAAGTGTAGCATTTTTATTTTTATTTCAGCATTTGATTGTTTTAATATACTTAAATATTAAATGACAAATTTCGTAACGTCAGTAGTGTGGAGTGTTTTGAAAGTGGTTATTGGGAGAAAGAGCCATGGAGAATTTTTTTAGAAACAATAACGCTTTTCTCATTAATAACAGATTTCTGTAACATTTTGTAACGATTCGTACAATTTTTACTCTTCTACAGTAGAGAATAGTATTAAATCATTTTATATGTTGCTTATCTGGTTGCTTGAATGTAAAAATCTTTTGATGCATTAAAATGTTTTTTTTTTCGCGTCCACTCCACTCTCTTTTTTTAAAAATGTATAAATTTCTTTTGTTTATTCTAATGGAATTTTAACTCTTTCTGATTCAACATGACATTATTTTCATCTTGATAATAATATAATATACACGTTCGAATTTATATTGAGTAAACTTTATACAGATGCATTCAACTATAGGACGAAACATTGGAATCTCCAAACATATTGTTCACAGCTTGTTTTGTTTTTTCAAATAAATATGCCATAGCACGACGTTTTTATTTTGCTTATTTGACTCAAGTCGTTTATTAGGGCGCTTGTCCCACAAAATAATAGTATGAAATATTTCATTCACTTTGATCATTGAACAAACAAAATTATTGTAGATCGGTCTGCACAGCATTGAATACTTTGTATCTATACAATATTTCCTAATCGTTCATTAAATTGCCCAATTTCAAAAAGACACGGAAAAAATACGAATAAGTTTAAACGTAAACAAACATTTTATAAATCAATTAATTTAAGCCGTGGTGCTTGTTATATTGAACACTGGGCCGATTCGTAGGAATAAACGTCTAAGGACACTTCTAAGTTCTGGTTTCAAATCAGAGCAATTAATTTCACATAACAATAAATAATAACTAGATATATGCGCAGCAAACTGAAACGAGAGAGAGAGAGAGGGAAATTGCATTACAAATTAATGGCCGTAAATTGATGCAAAAATGTGTTGATAACTTACCCGTTGGTCTTGCATTTTAATGATTCTTGTTAAAACAAGTAGTAATAATGATGTCCAGGCATCACGATGCGCTTCACTTTGCAATAACATAAAATACTCAAAGGCTTCTTTGCACACATCAATGAGGCGATTTTCTATTTCGGGCCATTCACACGATCTCGATTCGTCATTGTACATTTTCAATAATATTCGTAATACGCATGCCAACGATGTTGTTTCTTGTTTCAACAAATTCGGTTTAACCGAACCCTTCAAACCGGCACGCCATAAAATATTACGTTGTTCATGATCCGAATTGAAACGTTTCGCAAATCGATGACTTTCCATCAAGCATTCAATCAGCTGAAATAGATGTTTTGTATTCAAATAGCTGTACATTCCTTGTTCTTCGCGTTGGCATTCGGTTTGACTGGATGTCATGTTGCCAGTTACATCAGCCGTAGCCAGTGCCAATGTTTCGGCATCTTCTTTTCGTGATGTGGTTGGGAAAAATACAATACTATCGATCGTCTGAATTAATTCCAATTGAACAACACATTTGATAAGTAATGATGCAAATACGCTATTTTGTGAATGGTACACATCAGATTTAACATCTTCAGCATTTAAACTATAGACTGAATGTTGTGAATTTGTTCGTTTTAAAATGCCTTGAATTTGTTGTTGGCTATTATTATTATGTCGAATGTCACCATTTTCGATTGAATGATTTCGGATGTTATTCATGTGATCGGCACTTGTTGGTTTCCACGTAAGCAACTCTTTTGGCAACGTACAATTGAATATGTCAACCATACATTGGCACGTTTTATCCCATGTGTCATCGGTGAATTTCAATCCATTGGAAATCACCAAATTCTCAAGACAATTCGTTCCCGATCGTGCCAATTGTTCGTTACTCTGTTGAACACACCAATGCAATTGTGTATATAGATTGCTCAGCAATAATGGTCCAAGAACATCAAAATATTGAGTAAACACATCGATAATTGCATACAATGCATGATTACATGTCGTTGTCATCCATTCGGCTTTTTCCGTTTGATGTTCTGGCAATTTCATATTGTCAAAAATTCGGAAGAGAATGTTAAATAGATCTTTCCACCAATTCGGTTTAAATGATTCACCGTGTGTTTTAACAATTTCAAACAGCACCGTCAAACCACGTGTACGTACATCCAATTTACAACGATTCACCACACACGATAAACTGAATAGCATTGGAAACCATCCGCGTACCCAAACTCGATCTTCTTCCGATACCGAAACATCATTCTCCATTCCGGCATGTTCGGCAAATAGATTTGGTGATTCGGATACACAAAATGCACAGGTTCGCACCAAACGTATCGCTTCCATCGATGTATCCGGAAATCGAGCCGAATTACATGCAAATTCTGACAAACATTTCACAGCATCTTGAAATGAATCGATCATTATGTGAAATTGTTGCTTGTATAAATCGGTTATAATTTTGCCCGTTGTTTGGAATGCCATTTCGACAATGCTTTCGTCTTGATCACCAGCCGCCAAATAAAAAACACAGAAAATATTCTTCCAACCGGATCGAATGTTCGGCGCTTGACTATTCACCATTTGTGCCACACACCGTACAACCATATCACGAATTGCTGACGAATTATTCTTTTTCATTATGTGTTCAAATGGTCGTAAAAATTCCTTTTGAAATCGGAAATTAGCAAATTCACCTTTTTCAATGAATTTCATTGACAATTGACGCAATGAATCAAGCGCAAAGAATGCAATCTCTTCGTTTGCATTACAACCAACCGTATTAAAGTGATCACCGAGTACTTGCCAAATGCGCGACCATTGCAAACGAATACGTCCCATATTGTAGTATGAAATTTCGACGATTTTTTGTAATGAAAACATTCTCGGTTGTACACTATTCAATTCATCCAGCGACACTTGGCATAAAGCCTTTACAAAATCAACGATTGCATCACCATCCAGACGAATCGATCCGGTGAATATACGATCGACGGCTACAACAACACTTTGTGAACTTGTTTCGCCAATGTGCTCTTTAACACTCGGATCAAGTGCGTCACGATGATGTGTTGGACCGGAAAGAAATTGCGGTCGAACGCCTGTGCCAATCATCTGTGCCAATTCCAATTGTGATATACATTTGACAATGTCAAGCCAACTGCTGCCCAAATAATTGCCATCGGTGTGTGCAACCATAATAAGCGTTTTAATGGTATCAATGTTTTTCGCCTTCATTTCAGTCATTGGTGAATTTGCCGTTAACAATGTAAATCTGGCTAACGCTTGCACATATGCGTCTCTTTCGAGTGTCATATGAAATATGCACGCGGTACGAATAGCACATCGAATACCTTGAAAAGAAAACAAAAATACGATAGATACCAGTTAAAATTGTACTAATGAAAATAAATTAAAAATCAGTTCTTACCATCTAAGCAAAGGCTTGCAATTTCAGGATCGTCACAGTCCTGTAAACCGACAGAAAAGGCCGCTAAAAAAGGTGTCCATGCCATTTTAAACATTGGCCGTACATGTTCGAGATGTTTTGCCGATGTAAATGGTGATTTAACATGCGATACAGATTCCATTAGATTTTTTGCTGTACTTGACATTGCTTCCATTTCCAAGTTCCATAAAAGTTTTCGCTTCTTTTCGTTGGCTATAAATTGTTTTCCCGGCTTATTTACAGTATTTTTCATTTTAATTTCTTGGCCAGCAATTTCATCATAAATTTGCGATAAATATTCTTCTGGTAAATCTTTGCTATCGCTAACGCCACGATTCAAATTGATATATTGTTCTTTTGTCATTTTGTTCTTTACTTGCGGCGAATGCAAATCGGTTGTCAACATGATTACCGAAAATGCTAGCACATAAACGGTGTCAGCACTCGAGAACAATGTTAAATTTGGATTACATTCACAATATCGACTAGCAAATTTCTCCATAAGACGATCAATTTTCTGTGCTTCGCCCGGCAGTCGAAATCCTTCGAGAAATGTTCGCAACGCAAGCACAATATCCATACCGGCAAAATTCATTTCATCGATGTATGCACACATAACTTGTTTACAATGATCATCATTTTCACCTAAATAATCACCGATTAATGTTTTATCCAGACGTTCATCTTTTAAAAGCCATTTAGCCACATCTTCTACCGTTGATCCGATTAATTTATGCCCTTGCAAAAATTGAACCCCTTTTTTTGGCTTACGATTAAACATATCGATACCGGTTTCCATAACTTCTTTACGTTGTTTTCGTTCTTCCAATTCTTCGGGTAAGTCTAACACTTCTCGATTGATTGAACTGCCCATTGAATTAAGGCTTTGACTTGATCCACCCAAAGTAGTTGATTTCAATTGCGTGGAACCGTTCTCATTGACACTGTTCGTTTCATAATTGTTTGCATTCGAGGGTTTGGTTGCTGGTTCAAGTAATGTTGTTTGTGTGTTTGGATTTACGTACAGATCTTTACTCCATTCCACCATACATTTTAAGACCGAAACAAGACATTCCAGTCCACGAACTCGCATCGCTTTCTCTTCTATCGGTCGAATACCAGTTTCAATTGCTTGACGACCTTGAGCGATTTTTGAAAGATGATTTACCAATCGCTCTAACAAATTGGCCGCCGATAAATCACAATCGTAATTTACATAAATATCAACAACACTTTGAGCATCGCCACAAATTCGAGTTAGTGCTTGAATTACCATCCATTTGTGTTCAAATGATGATGTGCTCGCCTCCAATATATTCAAAAAGATTTCTTTGAAAAAAACTTCGATTTGTTTTTTCAAATGCACTTTAAAATTTGACAGCAATGCCACAAAAATGGATAATGACAGTTCAAAGACTTCTTTTACCGGACTGACACCATTCTGCGATAGTGCAACGCATAAATACTGTTTGATTGCCATGATAAACATTTCATTTGATCGAAAAACTGGTCCGGCATTTTGTAAAATTGACAACAGTAAATGCAATGATAGCACTTTTGAACGAAGTTCGTGTGATTTTTCATCGATATATCCATCGGGCAATGGTTTCATTGAGAGTTTACACAGCGCACGAAACACAAGGAATGCATCTTTTTGAAGAATATGAGTAAATTTGGCCGTTACCACATTATCATTTTCACTTTGAATTTCAACACTTTCTTGTGATGGTACGCGTGGAATGGACTCAGATGTGGCTTTTGGCGTTGTTGGTGTGGTTGGTTCAAGCGTTGATATTGTTGGTTCATCTAATTTATTTTCCGTTTCAATGTCATTCTTTGTCACTTGAGCATCATCGAATGATTGTTCGGCGACCATTTCTCTTGCACCATCGACATTCTCATTGGGCCGTAACTTATTTTCCACGATTTGACATGCTTCGTCAATAATTTCATTTAGAACGTGTCTAATGTAAAGTTCGTCTGATTCAATATCGACGGAGGCGTTGACGGCGGTGGCGGCAACATCTTTTCTCGGAATTTGTTCGCTACTTTTTGTATCGTCGTTAAGCACTTTTTCGTTCGCATTCGATTCAACTGGCGAAGCATTCACGGGAATTTGTATTGTTGAATTGTCCGCTGATGTTTCTGAATTCGTTTCAAATGCTTGATTTTCCATTCGCGTGAAAATCACATTTAACATTTGTGTAAGTGTTGCGCGTGCTGTCGTTTGATTGATTAAATTTTTACTCGATAAATAAATGTCATAGCAAGTGCGCACAGCCTGAAAAAAAAAAGAAAAACAATCAACATTTGTTTCGACATTTATGTTCTGGATTTATGAATTGACCAAATACCTGAAGCACGTTTCCTTCATGAACTTCGATATATTGTGATGTAACAACAGTTAAAAGCGCTTTAATTATCTGTAGTTCAACTCCATCGTCCGTTTGTGGTCCGCTAAAGCAATTACATATGGTCGATACAATACGATCGATAAGGTATCGCCCGGGACTTGATGAATCGGGAATGTTTCCCGTTAAATGTCCATATGCGATTAGTTTTTGCAAACAATCAAGAGCGGTGACAACAATACGCGGCGTTTTACTTTGACACGCCAATTCAAATGGTAGAAAATATTTTTCCGCATTTATAGCATTCGCTGAATCATTTTTGGGCAATGGCAAGGCCGTTGATTGGCCATCGATCGATTCAATATGACCACCATCCTTCAATTGCTTTATTTCACCTGAAAAAAATTCAGACGTAAAAAATACGATGAGTTCACTTGTTCATTCACCTCAATTCAATAGAGAACAAAAAATTACACGCCCTTATCAAATGTCGCTGCGTCTATAAAACTGATAAGTAGGTTATTAAAGATTTAAACGTACCGAGTGCTGACTCACAAGCCTTTTTCAATTGCAAATGATGCGATCGAGATATATCTTTGTCAGCTAAAATCTGTTCGAGAGCACGTTCGATGAATGTCTTTTTTGCCATTTTTGTCGTATTATTATTTTGCATTGTTTTCTTCTTCTTTCAGATTTTGTTTCTCTTTAGTAATTCGAAAAATGTTTTATCTCTGAAAAAAAATGAGCAAACATTTTATTATTGCCACATGAAATATGTATCAATGTTCGCCAATTTTGGAATAAATTATTCTAATTTGTTTGGACGATGAAAAAAATCGATATTTTTTATGTCAAATGACTCTCACTGTATATGTTTTGGATACACGTTCACCTAAATGTGACGTATCTAAAACTTAATACAGACTTGTCAAAGTGATTTCTCTCGTTCATTTCATTTTACATTCAGACAAATTAACACTTACACAAATGATTTTGCAAGAAAAAAAACCATTTAAATTACGACATCGTAAAAATTGAAATGTATTTTTTTTCACAAATATTTCACTTTTTTTTGTTACAATATTGCGACACACACAATTGATTATGTGTTTGCTAATACATTCATTCTACACCACAATGTTGGTTGTATTTTCACTGCTTCTTCTTCTTTATTGAATGCACCTTCTATGTTACAAATAAACGAATGAATGACGAAAACAATGTTCTGTATTAAGGTTATCACAGTCAACAATAATTTAATACGTAAATTCTTATGCAAAATTTTTATTACTTGCTCTTTATATTCAAATGCTTGATTACAAACGAGAGATATTTCGAGTGGACTTTATCGCGTAAACAAAACCACCGTAACATTCGGTTTTCATGCACTAGGTAAATTTTCTCCAAAAGACAATCGCTTTTCGCATATGTGTCACTTATATTCAATGAAAAATTTCTATTTGGAATATACAATTTTCGTAGATTACTGCAGTTGTCACGTCAAAACTTATATGTCAAAACAGACTCGTTTTCGAAGTCACACACATACACACACAACTGACACATTTTATGTACGTTAACTACGAATAATTAAGCAGATATATTGACCATATTTGTGTGAAAAAAAACATAAGCGGAAATCAATTAACATTCAAAATGCATTCTAATTTCATTTTTATTTCGAAAAATCGAACTTCGAAGCAAATTTAAGTAAACAACGCAAAAACCGTCAATTGAATAACAACCCAAATTATAATATACTTACAATCCAATTTGTATACCATTCGTGTGAACGAGACCGTATTTTATTTTGACATTTCAACTGATTACTCATTGAATCGAACATTGCAAATTATTTGAACTATTGATAAACACAAAGACGACGTAGAGAATTCAATTGTTTCCCTTTTTTTTATCGAACGAAAAAAACTTTATATATATACATTTAATAATTCAGGATGTATCAAGATCAACCACCATCGTATAATGAAGCGATTAATTCGCCCATCACACCATCGGCACCGCCAGGTTAGCATATATTTACAATTTTCGCATTATTTAAATGAGAATTAGATAAATTGAACAAATAATCAATTTATATATTTCAATTGTGTGACTCATCACAATGCATCAACTAATTTGTACTGTTTGTTGTTCTTTTAGTTGGGTCAGGAATGGTACAGAGTTCAATTGCTGTACCAAGTGGCAGTTACATGCCAAATTATCCGATACAACCATTACCACAAGTTCAACCAGAGGTAATAACAAAACCAATTCGACCTTTGCCCACAATACCCACAAATACAAGCTATGGAACTCTTGGCCAGGCGACAATTGCTGTACCAACCGAAATTATTGTGATCAATGGATGTCCAGCTTGTCGGATTGGTATTCTCGAAGATGATTATACTTGTCTTGGCATTTGTTGTGCGATTTTCTGTTTTCCGCTTGGAATTCTATGCTGTCTTGCACTAAAGAGCAAACGTTGCACCAATTGTGGTGCTGAATTTTAATAGCCTACATACTTGATGATAAATTTCAAGTGCTCAACGAAAGCCGAGTTAAATTTTAAAACGGCCAAAGAATCTTATTGCATGAAAATGCCATTAGCTTTACAATATTAGGGACAGAATGGTGATATTTTTTTAGAAATTGTTTTTTCTTTTCTTTTAATCGGTGAAACAGAAATATTTCTATTCAATTGTTACTTTGACATCATATACCATATACGAACTTTATTGGCATATACACATTTTGACATCATTTAGTTAGTTTAAGATGCTGATAAAAAAAAATATATATAAAAAAATAGGCGTAGTTCAATAAGATTAGAAACACCCGAAAAGGAATTGAAGTTGATCTATCGACATTTTGACGTGAATAAGCATGAATTTATTTTAAAATAAAAAAAAAAGATTTCAAAATATTTGAATTTTATAATGCCCGCATGAAGAAAATCATTTAATAAATAGATAAAATGCTGAGAAATATGTGTTTTTCTTTTATAAACATTTGATGAAAATTCTAGCGATTTATTTCAAAGTATTCTCGATCACGCTAGTTCATTCTTCCAGCGTGTCACATTGCATGACTAAACGATTGCGTAGATAATGGTGTAGTATATATTTCGAAAATTCAGCCTGTGTCTAAATATTAAATTCATGCAACTGGGCACTGCCACTGATTTTTCAATTTTACTTTAAAATCATATACGTCTTTTTGCTCTGTTTTTCTTCATACATAAACATATTCAGACTTAGAATGCTAAGTACATTATCGCTTGTAATTGACAGTCGAACGTCAGTTGAAACATAACTACGAAACTTGCAATGGCAACACATCGAATGCGTCAACCATCACATAAGGCTTTGGTTTCAAAGCCAAATATACGTTGTATTATGTGTGCGTCTTTTTAACGTTCTCGTGCGTTCTAAGTACAAATTATTTCAAAATATTTGAAATAATATAAAATCATAACATTTAAATCATTTCGTGTGATAACATATTGATTTCTTTTTTGCTACGCTCACCTCAAATTGATTTAGTATAAGTTTGTGTATGCATTTTATAATTTCGGTAGCATCATACGACGCCGTCAAACGAAAACATGACGACAAATAATTCAATAAGTTCCCGAACACATCGTTTGAATAAATTGATTGTGGGTCGTTCGGATAATTTGAATTGCAATGTTCATTCAAACAATACACTGAATCGTGAAATTTTGCTTGATGCATTTGAAGTACTATACAATGAGTGTAATAAGGACGCCCTTAAGAAAAACGATCGAAATATTTCCGAATTTTCAAAGAAATGTATGTTATTTTAACGTTTTTTTTTTTAATATTTTTTTATTTTTATTCAAATTACATAACAACAATCCGAATTTAATTAGATCAAAATGCCGTTAGCGAAACAAAGAAGCAGCGCGTCAATATTAATGATTTCAAGATCAAAGATTTGATTGGCAAAGGGTTTTTTGGTGAGGTGCATTTGGCCATTGAGAATATTACACGCGATGTTTATGCTATTAAAAAAATCCCAAAAAGTTCATTTGCACAATCGAAAGAGGAACGCAATATTATGGCCATAAGTCGCTCTGACTGGATACCAAAATTACAATATGCGTTTCAAGTAAGTTTGTTTTCGTTCAAAATTCGGATGCGAAAGACGGAAATGAATTGATAAATATTTATTTATAGGATAACACACATTTGTACTTGGTAATGGAATACTTGCCTGGTGAGTTACTTTTTTTTTTAATTAAAAAAAGAAACACACCCTTTTTGCATAAATACATCGATTTAATTTACTTTTTTACGATATATTTAGGCGGAGATTTGTTCAGTCTCATGATTCGAAATAATACATTTCCTGAGGATGTGATTCAGTTTTATTTGGCTGAAATAACATTGGCTCTGAATGCTTTGCACACACTTGGTTTTGTTCATCGTGATGTTAAACCTGGAAATGTGCTGCTGGATCGGTTTGGTCATTTGAAATTGGCTGACTTTGGAAGCGCCATTTCTATCGAAAAAGATGGACATGTAGTTAGTTTTACACCGGCCGGAACACCAGACTACATTGGTAAATAATAAATATTAATTATTAAAACGTTGTATGTTTGAGTTACTTAATTTTTACACATTTTGTATGCATTTTTGTTAGCTCCTGAACTACTGCAGCCTATACACGCAAAACGACCGATGAAGACAACATACAATGTAAGTTTCTAATATCGTAGAGTTTTGACTATACATCTGATAAATCTAAATTTCTTAGGAAACATGTGATTTTTGGTCGATGGGAATTATTGCATATGAGATGCTGACAGAAAAAACGCCATTTCATAGCCACAACGTTCACGATACATATAATCAGATTTTGTCATATGTTGATGGTACAAACACCATCCTACACTATCCATCTGATGTTGAAATCTCAAATGATCTTCGTGATTTGATTGATCATTTGGTAACAAGAGCAAATAATCGTCTTACCTACAAGAAAATCATTAAACACAAATTTTTCCGGTCCATTGAATGGTCGAATTTGCGGCAACAAGTCCCGCCTATAATTCCGACGCTGAATGGAGAAGATGATACTTCGAATTTCGAAGAGGACCTAAAAAAGTCCAGACGTAATAACACTTTTGACACATCTACGTCTTCGTCGGTGAAGAATAATAATTTTTCTGGATTCGATCTGCCTTTTGTTGGTTTCAGTTACGTTTGCGATGATATTGCAAACGATGGAACGAATTTTTCTTTCGACTCAAGTTCACAAGAAGTAAATCGCTTAACAACGCAGCTGAAAAGTTTACAGAAAACCATTGATACACAAATGATGGATATTTCTTCACTGCAAAAGAATCTCTCCGAATATCAGAAAAAGAGTGCACAAGCCACGTCGATAGAGAAAATTCTGGGCATTACGAAAGAGGAAATGAATGCTTTGAAAGAGAAACTCAAAGAAAAAACGGTTGAAATTGCCAATTGCCGTACTCAAATCAAAACACTCAAAAATTCATTGAAAATTGAAGAAGAGCAACGAGTAAAAAATGACGCCAATATTGCCGATGTGCTTAATTCAACGTACCAAAAGTGGGAAAGATCGAAAAAGCAATCGGAACAAAACTATGAAAAACAAATATCCGAGAAAAAATCAGAAGTTTTGGCTATTCAGGAAAAGCTAAAAGTCTGCGGAAGAGAATTAGAGTCGAAATCTGCCGAATGTATTCATCTACAAGAAACTATTGACCGTTTGATGGATCGTTTGAAGTCAACTAAAAACCAAAGCGACACAGAAATTAATGCACATGCCAGAAAACATCGCGAATCCAATGTCCATTTTGAAGGACAATTGCGTGAATTGCGATCCAGATTGCAAACGCAAATCGAAGCCAAAAATATGGCTGATGATGAAATTCAAACACTTAAATCGACGATTGAAGAAAATAATCAACGTTTTAAATTAATTTCAGATCAGAAAAATAAACTTGATGAAACGAACTCAAAACTAAATCGTCAATTAAACAAAGAAATTGACGAGAATCGTAGTTTACATGATGAAAAATTAAAACTGTCTCACACAATTATGGATTTACAAAGCAAAATCGAAGAATTGTCAAGTCAGGCACACAAATCAGATGGCACGGCCAGTTTGTATTGTAGTTTGGAAAGCATATCGTCTGAAATCGAAGCTCAATTGAAAAAAGATTTGGAACTTGCCAAAGAAAGTGAAAATGAGCAACGTTTACGAGCAAACAGCCTCGAAGAGACGGTAAAACGGCTAGAAGCAGCGATTGAACGCGTTACCAACACCGGATTTTCCGGTGTTGAAGTAATGTTGGAACGTCAAAATGAAAAATTGGAAGAAAAATTGTGTACAGTGCAGGAACAGGCTACAATTGAGAAACAAGCGTCACGAACCGCACATCTGCAACTTTGGAAAAACGAAAAAGAATTGGACACAATTAAAAGGGAAAAGCGTCGATTGGAACATGAAGTGAAGAAATTACAAAGCGATGCTGACGAACTCACACGAAAGGTGCACGAGAATAAAATCATTGCACAAAATCGCGAAGAGCGCATTACAGAACTTCAAAACGATTTGACAGCACGAAAAAATGAATTACAAATTGAACGCAGTAGATGGACAGATATTGAAAAAGAGCGAAACAAAGAAAAAGTTCTGATTGTCAATCAAAATACGAAAATCCATAAATTGGAAATTGATTTGGATGAATGCAAAAGTAAAATGTCTTTGTTTGAGCAACAAAAGAACACACTGATGGCCGAAAATCAACATCTAACACAAAAACTACGTAAAGAAATGGAAAAACTGGAGAACACGATGGAAAAATTAGTTGAATGTGAACAAAACTATGAAGCATTGAATAAAAATAACGAAACCTTGAAGAGTGTGTGTTCACTCATGGAAATGCAGCTCGTGGAACTTGAAGAGATGTACAACACGCAGCTCGATCAAAATAAAGAAAAATCAGTCTCGATTGATAAACTTTGGGACGATATTCGTGAGCGAGATGCAAAATTATTGAAGTTACAACAAGACATGACTGAGGAAAAAACACAAAATTCGAGTATGAAACAAAAATCGTCGGAAATGACAACCGAGGTGGCCAGACTAACAAATACATTGACCGAATGTCAACAAAACGTGGATACATTGCAGCAAGATTTACTAGAAAAGGCCGACTATTTGATGAAATCTGAAGAATTAATCGAAGTTCAGAAAGAAGAAATACAAAGTTTACAGCGTGTAAACCATAATCTTGATAGAGAAATCATTATAGTAAAGGAGGAGAATTCAAAGTTACTCACTGAACTTTACATATCCAAAGAGAACTATCAAAAGTTGCACTTTGACTATTCGTCATTGAATGAAAATTATACAGATTTGAGAATGGAACTTGAACAATTAAATGGAACAATGTCTGAATTGAACAAGTATCAAACACAGCGTGAAATCAAGTCGGAAGCAACACAAGCACAATACAAAAAACTTATCGATTATTTGCAAAAACGTGTGGATGAATTGACACAAAAAAAGAAAAAAACTTTGGCCGAGGTGCTGTTCGGTGCCAGTAATTCATCGAAGAAAGAAAATATACCGCCAATCGTAAGTCATGCTCAAAAAGATGTTGAAGTTGATAAATCGAACGCTTGCCATAAATCACACAGCATAAAAACAACGAAATCAAATACGATTAATGATCGGGCATCGAAGAAAAAGGATAAAAATCCTATCAAATCGACGGTTAACTCTTCAAATAGTTCCAAAGAGGTGGCTAAAATTAAAACGAAAATATCTTCACCAGAGAATATGAACTCAGGTACGCATCTCTTTGAACGTACTTCGTATTCGAATACTGTTGATATGTCAGAGGCGTGCCTTGTTTGCAAGAAGCACTTTGTAAGCGATACAGTATATCAATGTAAAAAGTGTAATGCTTCCGTTCATCAATACTGTCGTGGCAGCAACATGAAATGCAACAGTCAGCCAGAAGTAAGTGACGGACCTTCGAATGACGATGATATATCTTTATTGGACGTTCCACAAAAGCCCCGATACATGAATGATGTCATTTTGAAAGAATCAGACATGAGTCCAGCCCTGGAAATTTTATGCATACATGAAATCGATAACAATGTTTTACTTTTGGGTACGTTTTAATTTGAAAATTGTTGAAAATTGTAATTTAATAATGGTTTATTATGTTTCAATTACAGGTTGTACTTCCGGTTTGAAGGCATACAATATCACCAATAAGAAACTGATTCACATCGCTAACATAGACAATATTATCAATATGGCCATTGTTACTGATTTTTCAAAATCGATTTTGATCAGCGAAAATGGAAAAAAATTATTACAGTGCGATTTGAGACATCTTCAGACGCGTGCAAATGCATCCGTTTGTTTGAACACTGGAATGGAATACGTTGAATTAAACCTACCATTTGTGATGGAAAACACTCCAACTTCTGACTTGTGGCGTTTCGCTAAGATATTTGATAACACAGATCGTGATCAAGAAATTTCGGAGCCCATCGCAATTGCTGCTACATCTACACAAATCGTCATCCTACGATATGATATTGAAATTAAGCATTTTAAAGCGATCCGAGCACTAGATACAGCTTCACCCGTACAATCGATTTACTACACACCATTTACAGCAATCGTAAGCTCGGACAAATTTTTCGAAATCGATTTGAATACGCTGATCTCAGAAGAATTCATTGATTTGAGTGATACCAGTTTGGTGCACACTCTTAGCTCAAGACCATTGAGCACATTTGCCATCAATACGCAAGAGTATTTGATGTGTTTCAAAGATTTTGGTATTTTTGTCAATGAATTTGGCTGTCGCACGCGTCCAACAGAAATAAATTGGTTGAAAAATGCTCCACAAGCATTTGCATACCGAGCTCCCATTCTATATATCTTTAGCGCAGATGGACTACAATTGATGCACATCTCGAAAACATTCGACGAAACGGATGAAGATGAAAAGCAAGCAGTCCAGACATTTATTGAAATGAAACATTCGAAATTCGGAACGACCTGTGGCAAACACGGTGTATACATCATAAATATCGATGACAATTTCGCTAATGCCGAAACCAAACAAATTGTTCGAGTTGATGGTACAAAAGTTCTATACAATTTTGAGCATTTTGACTCGGTGGTAACATTAAACTAAAAAACAGAACAGCATTATTCCATTTAGTAACCATTCTTTGACATCTTTTCATACAATCAATATTGTATTCTAATTAAGACCTAGATTAAGACCATTTAAATAATTTAAATTTTGTTTGTCTTTTGTATTCCATTTTTTTTTATTTTGGTCACAGTGAAGAAAAAGTTTTTTTTGTAGACAATAAAAATGTAGCCATTTATTTAATAATTTCTTGATGTTTTTCTGTTCTATTTTTTTTTGAAATTTTTCACATCAGAGCTAACCATAACAACATAATAACATTTTTACGATGCTACCAATAAAAAAATTGATTTTGATGTTACGAGTTAAAAAAGACTAATTTTTACGATTTTTATGAGATGACAATATAGGAACCGTCGAGAAACAAAGATACCTTCAGAAAAGTTGAGAAAAAATCTTTAACATGAACTGGAATGTAAATCAAATGTCAACATATAAGGTTATTCAAGAGGTATCACATAGCAAGTTGATATGAAACTCTCGGAGACTCGGTATAGAGCACTCCCAAAGTGAAAAAGTTTCAGACCGTGATTTTTTTTCATTCTGATTTCACCAGGTGATACACAAAGTTGAATAGTATTTGAGAATCAAATAAAAAACATCTTCCGAGGTGAAGAGCGAGTGACGAAACCAAAATGTAAAACACAACGTCGTGTTTCATTTCGAAAAAATTTGCGTTGGTACTACAATTCAATAAAATCTTTAAGATTTGTTACACATTTCTATGTTCTGAAGAGAAGTCCCACTTTCATTCTCGGTCATTCATTTATTTCTTCTTTGTTTTATGTCATTTTAAATTAAATTTCTCACTTTCGTGGGGTAATATTAAAACAAGCTGCATTTTTGAATTCTTCGAAAGAGCTTGACATTTAAAATGCCAATATAAAAATTGACGGTTATGAGTTAGAAAAAAATATATTTGGTAGAATGAACTTCATTCCAGACTTTTCTTTTGTTTCAATATTTCACGAAAAATATATGCAATTTTAAAATAAATAATACCACAAATATATAAAATGATTTCTTTCTTTTTTTTATTATTTACTAATATTTCAATAAAAAGGCGTTTTATGAATTTTGCATCGGGCCAAAAAAAACTACGTACATAAATTATGTAGATGGCGCTTAAAGCTACGAATGTTTTTTGAAATCCAACGACATTTACACGAACGCTTGCAAATTTCACGTTCGTGTATTTACCATGTATTTGGGTGTTTGACATAAACAACTTTTTGGCGCAGTACATATGATGAAAGACGGCTTCACATCTAATAAAATTTGTTTAATAATTTTGAAATTCGATTAGTGTGTTGAAAGGAATTGATTATTTTTTTTAACCGAATACGTATATTAGCGGGAAAACTGCGATAAATAAAATAATAACATTTCTGTTGAAATCGAATCCAATTGAAAGAAAAAATATTCATGAAAAATTGATCAAAGATTTGAACAAGTGAAAAATGAGGCCATCACCAAAAAAAATGCGAAAAAGTGGTAGTGGTGCTGATGGTAGTGCACCAACTGTAGCATTGCCAAGTGAATCTGCTCCAAATACAAACGATGAAATTCCAATGGATGAAGATTTCGATCCTGCTTCCTTATATGAAGATGAAGAAGGTAATAAAGAACCAAAATCTGAAAAAAGTAATTGACAGATAGATAGCGTCTATTTAACGCATCTCTCAACTCGAACCCTGTGTTTGCTAAAATGTTTCACGCAATAACATTACTGTTATGTTTAGCATACACAGCGTGCGAGTTGAAAGATGCACTGATTAGGTCCTATTTGCAAAATATCTGTAGATACAAAAAAACGAAATCTTTTATTAAAAAGTATTTTCATTTTGAAATGTATTCCAGGTGGCTATCGTGTGGGTGACATTTACATACCGCCACCAATCAAACCTTACTGTTCAAGTGAATCACAAGGTGCGCGGCTTATTATCACCCAGATTATGAACACAAATTTCAAAAGCTATGCTGGAGAGGTCCCGTTGGGTCCATTCTGTCACGTAATTATTCTTAAGATTTCTCGCCAAAATACTTTTCAAATCTGAAACCATTCAATTACTAATCAACAGCGTTTTCATGCCATTATTGGACCAAATGGAAGTGGAAAGTCAAATGTTATTGATTCCATGTTGTTTGTATTTGGCTACCGATCGAATAAAATCCGATGCAAAAAGCTCTCGCTGATGATACATCATTCGAAAAAATGTCCGGACGCTGATAGTTGTCGTGTAGCCATTCATTTTGCACAGATCGAAGACAACACCGATGGATCCTATCGAATTATCGAAGGCAGCGAATTTATTATCGCACGTGAAGCACATCGCAATAATTCATCATACTATACAATCGATGGTAGACGTGTACATTTCAAAGAGGTAGCAGCCTTGCTTAAAAAGCACAATGTTGATTTGGATCACAATCGGTTTTTGATCTTGCAAGTAAGAAAATGATTACTATGTTTAGGTTTGGTAAATATAATAAATTGATTATTTGAAAATCAGGGTGAAGTTGAGTCCATTGCTATGATGAAACCAAAGGCCCAGAACGAAAACGAATGTGGTCACTTGGAGTATTTAGAAGACATAATCGGTACGACACGGTACAAGGAGCCATTGGAAAAAATCCATGCTCATGTTGAAATATTGAGCGAAGAACGTACAGAGAAGCATAATCGTTGCAAAATGGCCGAACGTGAGCTGAACGATTTGAAGGCGCCCATGGAAGAGGCTGTTGCATATTTGAAATTGGAAAACGATCTCACCCGAACAAAAAATAAAGAAACACAGTTGCATATGTACGTACAGACATGTATATTTTATGTGTACGATAAACATACATTAATTTTGTTTGATTTTCATTAACACACATAGATATAAGACGAAAGAAAGTCTTGAACGATGCACCGCCGAGTTGGAGGAGAAAACACAGAATTTGAAAGATCACGACATAAAATATGAGGCTATCATCAAAGAACGCACGGAAAAAGAACAACAGATCAAAGAAGAGATGGCGTAAATATTTTTTTAAATTACAAATTATATCATAAAATCACTCAATTTTTTTTTATTTATAGAAATTATGAGCGAATCATAAAGAAGAAGGAAGAACATGAACAAATGAAGAAAAATGCGGACAGCAAATACGATGAAATTCAGTCATCGATGGACGAAACAAATAAACGTCGAAAACAAATTGGAACAACGCTGAAAAAGAAAGAAGCTGAACTTGAAGAATTGAAGCGCGTTCCGACTAAAAACCAAAAAGAAATCACCGAATGTGAAAAAAAAGTCGAACGTTTTACGAAAGAAAAGGATGAAGCGAATGAAATCTTACAGCGCAATTTGTTGAAACTTCAAGATAAGATAAAACCATTGACCGAGAAAAAACAAAAATTAGAAGCTGAACTTGCAAAAGTCCAAATAAAACAGGATGCAGCCAAATCGGAATTGGATGTTATTGAAAATGAACTGAAATTGGCTCAGCAAACCGAGTCTACCGAAAAGAAAAAATTCGAAGTCTATAAATCGTCGTTGGAAAAATCAAAGGAAACATTGGAAACACGTCGCACAGAATTGGCGGAAGCTGAAAAAATTATACCATCTATAAAAAAAGATATCGCTCAATGTGAACAAGAAATTCATGTATATAAAACAAAAGAAAAACAACTCCAAACGGAAGTGGCGAATCTGCGTTCAGTGGTAGGTTGTTTAAATCTTTTTATGTTGTTCGACAATGAATAAAAACCTTTCGTATTATGAATGTTTTTTTTTGCAGATCGAAGAAAAGTCACATATGATGCGACAAGCCCGATCTAACAATAAGGTCCTCGAACATTTGATGCGCAAGAAAATTGAAGGGGAGATTCCAGGTGTTCTGGGTCGTCTGGTAAATATCACCAACTTTTGAATGTCATTCGAATGAAACAAAAACTGATCTCTATTCTCTGAATGTATTGTAGGGAGATTTGGGTGGCATTGATAAGAAGTATGATGTTGCCATATCAACATGCTGTGGACGTCTTGATAACATTGTTGTCGACACAGTGGAAACAGCCGAACAGTGCATAAACAGTTTGAAACGAGATGACGTGGGACGTGCAACATTCATCGCTTTGGAGAAGATTGAACATTATGCTGAATATGCCGGTCCAATTCAAACGTACGTTTCTTTAAATTTTAGATTTTAAACCAATCATTTCATGTAACTTTTTATGCTTTTTTGCACAGACCTGAAAATGCGTCTCGCTTATATGATTTGGTTCGTATTGAAGATGAAAGATTGGTCGCAGCTTTCTACTTTGCCTTGAGAGATACGCTTGTTGCAAATGACATGGATCAAGCAACAAGAATCGCATACGGTGCCAAGCGATATCGTGTTGTAACATTAAAAGGCGATGTAATTGAAACGTCCGGCACAATGAGTGGTGGTGGTCGTACACAATTTCGTGGAAAAATGGGCGAACAAGTGAAAACCAAAACATCTGTATCACATAACACATCAATTGGTGGCAATACTACCACTGAAGGTCTGGATGAAATCCGTGCAAAAGCACAAAAAATCCAAGACGAAATTAACCATGCACAGCAAATCCAAGGTGAAAAAGGAAAAACATTGGCCCAATTAAAAGCAAGGCTACCAAGAGAGGAGGCCAATTTGAAACGATTCAAGACAGATATAGCGACCTATGCACAACAAATTCCAGGACTTGAGATACAGCTGGAAGATCAGCGACAAATCATGGAAGAATCGCGTTCTGATCCGAAGAAAGTGGCCGAACTAAATCGTGAAATTGACAATCGCAAGAAAACATTTGACAAATGTTCTGCCGATACAAAGCAGCTCCAGGATCAAGTTGATGCAGTGAACCAAGAAGTTAAAATTATCAACGAAGATCAAATTGGTTCGGTTGAAAAATCCATTCAAAATATAGAAAAACAAATAAAAAAACTATCGAATCAAGCGACCAAATTGAAGGTTGAAATCGCTGCATCTGAACGAAATGTAAAAAAAGCAGAAGAAAACATAGCCACAATGAAAGAAGATATAGCAACTGCGCAAAGTGATTTGTTGCGAATGAACGATGAACGAGCTCAAGCTGAAAAGGATGCATCTGAAATTCAGAAACGCTTACAGGAGATAATTAAGGAAATCTCACAAACACAAAATGGTTCGAGTGATACGAAAAAGGAAGTCATCGCATTGCAGAAACAAGAATCGGACGCCAAATTGCAACGCGTTGAACTCGAACAAACACTTCAAAAGATTGAAAAACTGGTACGTGATTTGAAAGCAAGCATACCGTACTACAAAAAGAAATTGGAGCCACTCAAATTACACAATATACCAAATGAAGATGCACCACAGCCACTAAAAACGTATTCCGATGAAGAATTGGCCACATATGCAATCGACGAAATTCAGTACCGTATTGAAGTGTTTGAGGGCGAACTGAAGGCAAAGACACCAAATTTAAATGTAATTGATGAATATCAGAAGAAACTTGATGTTTATATGGATCGCATAAAAGTATTGGAAGACATAACCGCCAAACGAAATGAAATGCGGAAATTGTTTGAGGATATCAAAAAGCGTCGTTACAATGAATTCATGAATGGCTTCAACATTATAACACATAAATTGAAGGAAATGTATGCAATGATTACGCAAGGCGGCAATGCCGAGTTGGAATTGGTTGATTCAATGGATCCTTTCAGCGAAGGTATATCGTTCAGTGTGCGTCCACATCGCAAGTCCTGGAAAAACATTTCAAATCTATCGGGTGGAGAGAAAACTCTTTCATCTCTTGCACTGGTTTTCGCTTTACATTACTATAAACCCTCACCATTGTATTTCATGGACGAAATCGATGCGGCTCTTGATTTCAAAAATGTATCTATTGTTGCCAACTATATAAGAGATCGTACCAAAAATGCACAATTCATTATCATCTCATTGCGATCGAATATGTTCGAGTTGTCTGACTTTCTTACTGGAATTTATAAAGTAGATGATTGTACTGATTCTTTAACGATTGAAAATGTACCACCACCATCAATTGGAACCGCATCACAGGTACGAATCATTTGTATTCTTGAAAAAGTTTTCTTTGTAAATAAGTTTTGCTGATCAAAACATAGATATTGCGTTCTTAAGAATTGCATTCAAGCAAAATTATTCTGTCATGTTCAGAATTTTGGGCGTGCTAAGCAACTCACCTTTCAAACAAATTATTCAAACGTTGAAAACGAAAGATTAAAAATTATCTTTCCATTACAGCAAATGCCATCCAGTCAGCGTACCACATCTGATAATTTTATGCCATCCCAGTCAATTTTCCCAACTCAAAGCTTCGGAAGTCAACAGTTACCTGACCAATCTTCTTCGTCTTTGGCTGGAAACGAAACTACTAAAGATGATGAAATCAACGAAGCGGAAGTTGACAAGTGACAATGAAATTCACATCAAAATATTACTCAACATTTTCAATTTATTTAAGTTTTTGATGATAAAAAAAGTACAAATGTTTTCTCGATTTTTTTTATAAAAGGCAATAAAAGATGTTTCATTAAAAAGCATTTATTTTGAAAAAGAGTATTTTCCTTGTTTAATTAGTCTCTATTGATCCTTTAACTTAAACAAAAATGTCAATACGGTAGGAAAGTTGACATATTTAATAATATCCGAAATAAAAAAAAAACTCCAAATAAGTTTACTGCAGTAAATAATGCAAACTATTACGATTATATGGAGGAAAAATGTGGTTCTTCAAAAGAATTGTTGGTTTTATAATTGAAGGAATGATTAAACAACACGCAAACAAAATGCTGATGTTTAAATTAAGAAAACAATTATTCGCCCAATGTTTATGAAGTACATCTCAGAATTGATGCTTGTGTGTTTTCCGTACAAATTGTATGATTATCCGTTTCCTGTAGCAACCTGTAAATCAAGTTTTATTTAGAATATACATGTACGTGTAGTTTATTTTTATTAAAATGAGAGAAAAAATTGGCTCGTACAAGTAAATGGGAATTAATTTTATCAAATAAATCATTTTTATAAATCCAAATTCTCTAATTTTAACTTGTAGCTCTTTTATTTAGTGGCCAATAAGAGTTTTTCGAGTTGTATGAATTGAATCTGTTAAAATATGAATGTATATCCTTTGTTTGGCAATTTATGTGAATTCACAAACACCTTTCCGTTGATAAAGTTCATTGTATATTCACAGACTGATGGTATTATTTCAGAGTTCCGATTGTTGTTGTATTGTGTTTATGTAGCACATAATTTTAGGCATGGTTTGAAGTGATGGTGGTTTGTTTGGCAAATGATGTTTTGTTTTTAAATTTTCATTTGATTTTGAGTAAGATTTCATATTTGTTTGCGATGAATTGAATGTTGATTTTGATTTGGATGCAAAAAATGTCCCCATTAATTGTAGTCAGACGAACACATAGTTTGGGTAAATCAGCATTATCTCACAGTATAAAATGTCTCGTAAACAGAAGCACATCCAATGCCCATGCACAGCCAATGAAGCGTTCTACATTTGTCATTTCATCAAAAGCGAACAAGTGCCAAGTCAGTGCAATGCTTAACAGAAATACAATTGGTCGACGATATTATTGTATTAATCTCATCTCCTGTTGTGTATCAATCGCTCCATTTCTCATCTCATTTTCGGTCGGTATCAATACGATATAGTTTAGCTCTCCTCCAAATTTATCGTCCAACAATTAGTTATTTTGATTTTTCAAATTGTTAAAGTAACACAAACTCAAAATTTAACACGATATATTTAAAGCGGCGAGTATGCGATACTAAAGAAAAAATAAACATCGCGAAATGATGTTTTATTCATGTCTTTATCTGATTTTGTAAGCAAATTTGCATTTTTTTTAATTCTCCATTAAAAACTTTGTTTGTTAAGGAAGGCAATATACCAAAAGAATTACTTTGTTAAATTATCAGCTCATAAAAATACGGTATAGAGTTCATTGAATAAAAAAAATAAACTGATTCATAGTCATTAACACGAAATTGTCGATCAGTTAAATTTGTTTCTATTAGGATTGTTATGATTGGTCCAGATGCAATTTGAGTTACATCACAGGAAATGAGTATTTGTGTTTCGATGAAACTTATTTTGATAGTTCTGGGATTCGAAGATGTTCAGACAATTAGAGGAATTGCTACTGAGGCACTTGTTTTGCAATCAATTGTTGTGTTATCGGTAATTGCCACGTTAAACGGCGTCATCCACTCAACACATTTTTCACACGATTCAAACGCTAGCACTTTTGCAACCAATTCGACCGGATAATTTGGGCGATAGCTATGGAATTCCGAAAGAAAAAAATTTATTGGATTACGAAAATGACAAAAGATGGTCTGTGAAATATGTGTGCAGATGAGAATTAAAAGAACTTAAAGAGTCACCACCTGTTCTGACTAAATGTTACATACGTTTTGATGATATTTTTTAGGGCGATTTTGCGTTCTCTGTCAATGAACCAATTTATCAAATGCCGTGCATTTTTTGGTGCCGTTTTGTATAAATTGAAAAATTTCACAAAATTTCCCAAAGACCATGCTGAACGCAATTTCAATGCATGTGCGATACACTCATCGTCCTTTTCACTATTCGTCAAGGATTTAAGAATTGTCGTTAAATCTGTGTGATTGAGAGAGTTTTTGGTAATATTTGTTAAAATGAAATTGGAGTTGTTATAACAGTAGTCTAGATTTGAACTCCACTTACCCAAAGTATTTTTCGTGAAAATATAGTACAAAATACGATAAGCTATGAATTCAAGACGATTGTTTCCCCCAAGATCAGCGTACAACATTTTCAATTGTGTTTGACACTGATTGAATTCTTCGTGATCACCTTTTTCCATGGCAATGCGTGCGTGTGTTTCATACACTTGAATTGTGAATTCATTTCGAATACCTTGAACCTATTTTAAAAGAACGAGAAAAACGTATACGTTCAAGATTTCCAGACAGAATCAAAATTCTTGTGTGGCCGTTTGTATCAATCGGTACTTACAGTTAGATCTTGTCGGATGGATTTAAGTTGATCGCATGCATAGTAATAATCATGTTTTTCGATCCATTTAGATTTAGCGTTGGCCAATGATAAAACAAGCACCTTTTCCGGCCGAATTTCGTGCGCTTCTGGTGCTTTTGTGAGTCGTAAAAATGACTTCTCGATGTCTTGGCACGTGCCAACAATATGAAAATCGATCAAATCAAAACTATGATCTGAATTATCATCATATGATCGACTATGCATGGGCATATGCTTCTTTTGAGTGTGGCTTACAATCGATGTACTTGATGTTGGTACTGTCTTCTTCTCCGTAAATCGTGCGGCTCGTTGTTGCAATCGTTCAGAATCAAAAACAATATCACCACTCGATTTTGGTGTGTAGTTTTTGTGAGTGTCTTTTTTACTTTTATTCTTTTTCTTATTCTTTGGCTTTCCCAATTTTTTGTAACTCGATTTCGAGAAACTCTTATAATCATCCGAATTGGACGATGAACTTGATGTGCGACGATTTTTGCGACGTGGGCTCGGTGAACTGTCACGGCTGTCACTACTATTACTGCTGCTGATGCTGCTTTTGCGCGACCGCATACGACGTTTTCGACTCGATGATTTATGTGGGGACCGTGAACGTGAACGACTATATCTTTTAGTACCCCGATTATCGCGATTACCTAGCCGCAGACCTAAACTGGGTGAAATTCCTTTTTTCGGTGTGTTTGTTGACGACGACGATTTATCCGGAAAATTGGCCAATTGACCTGAACTCTTTGATTTGGTTGCGTTGACAGGAGTCGCAAAAGTGCTTTCATTGTAAGTACTTGGCGTTGGTTCATTGTCCCAATCTTTAGTCCACAAATCACCGCGATTTCTTACTTGCGTAATACGATCTTTAAGACAAATTTGAATTTCATCTTTTTCGTCGTCGGTGTGACACTTTGCGTAGCATCGTTGAATATATCGATTTAAACAATCGGGCCATGGTTTTTCAACAATTCGACTGGGACTATTTCTTTTTTCAAGAGATGTGGTGGAAGCTTCGCGAATGGAATGTGTTTGTGATTTTGGGGAATAATAATTTGGCAAAGCTGGCGAATTGGGAGTCAATTGATGAGAATTTGTTAAATTTTTGCAAGAAATGCTTGTATCAAGAAAATTTGAACTGTTCATCATTGATTCATTTTGTGACGAATTGTGTGGCGATTGACGAGGTGATTTATTTAGTTTATTTTTATTTTGCTGTTTCTTAATCTTTTTATTTGATTTTGGACTCTTTCCGGGCTGCTCTTGTTGTTGATGGATGGGTTCGAATTCGTTCAAAAGACTGCTATTTAATCGTTTTTTATTCAATTTAAATTGAACGCCACCAAACTGTTTCTGATTATTCGAAGATTGACTACCATGCCAGCTCTGTGGCGATGGTGCCTCAATATTAGACAAAGATGGCGGCGACGGTGGCGATGGAATTCGACAAGCATTACCAATTTCGATATACCCGTTATTCTGTTTGGCCAATTGTTTTAAAGCATACTTTTGAACGTGATTTTGATATGTATTATATTCTTGAGGTTGTTGATTGTTTGCTAATGATTCAGCTAAACCGTAAATCGAATTGTAGCTGTACGCTGTTGAAGTCCATGCATTTTTTGTCGCCGATATATTATTTGTTTCAACGCACCCGTTCATATTCTCCCCCATGTTATGATGACTTACCTTTTTCCAAAAAGAATCCTTTAAATACTTATTTACCGATTAAATGATCAAGTCTAAATAAAAAGATTATCTGAAAAAGTGGACGAAAAACGCAACAATTCAAATTAATTCTTATGTTTTTAGGTTAACACACTTTTTCACAATGAAATACATTGATTACTTTGACTTTTCAATTCTAATTTGATTTCTATTTGAAAGAAAAAGGATAATTTTTTGATGACACATCAGAATGTTTCAGAGAATTGTTGTTGATGCCCAAAAATGACAAATATGGACCTTTATTCCTGAAAATGGCACTGATTCACTAAAGTCTTGATATTAAATGAATTCTTATAATTTTTTCTCACTACTCTTGCGATGGAACAAGCTGTAAAAATGATTTCTGGTTCGTGATCGGTACTTATGGTTTGTTCTATTACGTTGCACACGGTGACCATTAATGACATTTATATTTTTCGGTTGGTATGGCTGATTATGAAATCTCGCGTACTTTTCAATCCAAATTAAATATACACATTAAATCTTCATAATATCAATACGAAGATTCTAGTATCTAGAATTTAGATTCTAGACTATGTATTATAGATTTTAGGTGAAATATTCAAGCATTGAGTTCAAATAAAAATCAAATCAATGTCAATCAGTTAAGTTGATTTTTTTTTTCGGTTTTTGTATTGAACAATCTATAATTTCCCGCTCAAAATATATCTTTCAATATGGAATTTGAAATTTGATATCCAATTTGCGCTGTTTTAAATAACAGTAAACAGTGTTAATGGATTTGATACAGCAGGCAATAAGTTGATGTGTTTCGTGTGTTTGTATTTTCGTCAGCTCCATGTGCTGTATGACATCATAAACAAAGCATTGTGTGGCGACATCGAAATCGATTCTAAGAAATATAATAAACATCACTGTTTTGTTTTATAAATCGTTTTTTGAGTATTGATCTTGTTCATCGACAAATTTGTTAGCAAGAAAAGAATTGGATTTTTGAAATGGAAAATGTTTCTGATGTGCAACGCATTCACAATTGTTATTAATAATGGAATGACAGAAAGTGGTTTTATTCAACTTTTGTGCAATGATATTCATTTTGATTGGGAACGACAATCGACAAGGCACACATTCAATCGGTGTGACAAATAATATGTGAGATTTAATTTGCTTGTGTGTTAAGAAGTTGCCAGAATTGTTTCATATTTTCATAAAATATCGCTGTGTTAGATTTTATTGATTGGTGTATCACGGTGTGTCAAGACTCAAGATATTGTCGGTATTCAAAAAAAAAAATTGTGCAATATCGGCAAGAATTAAGATGTGTTGTCACATATGGCACAAAACTTTACCACTGTGATGGATCCGTTCGGTGCATACATGGAATCAGATGGTGTGACACTGACACCAGTTCGATTCACACGAGCCAGAGCAAAGACAGTTGCAAAATCGAAATCACCGAAAGAAATCAGGATGTATTATTCTTACATTCGATTATTATTACATTCGAATATACATCCAGAAATCAATACAAACACTTTGGAATTGTCGGCGCAATTGGTGCAAAATAACGGATTCTTCGCAAGATAATGAAATTGCATCGAAGCCAACGACACAAATATTTCGAAGAAGGAAAAGAAATTTTGTAGTCAGTGAATTTATTGACCTAATTACACCACCTAAAACGGACACCAAATTAACAAGAACATTAAGCCCTGAAACACCGATCACATCGAATGTCAAACAACTGCAACAGCAACAACAACAACTCGCTCGGTCGAGTAACCAAAAAGCCAGATAGTTTTATGTATTAACTGTAAAATTAATAAATTAATAAATGACAAAATAATCACAGGTGTATTTATTTATTTACGTAAATATTTGGTTTGATTGTGCCCATACAAAATTAGCTTACCCAAAAATGAGTATCAAAAACCCACTATTCTTCAGTGTGTCACTTTAAATACTGAAAATAAAACAAATTAAGAAAAAGAATGATGTCTATTTTCAGAGATTTTCGTAAGTTTATTATCATTCATTCGGTTGTTTGTTTTTGGCATTTACATAAAATTTAAACGTAATATGCACATTTAAAGAGGTTTTAAACTTATTTATTAAAACTATGATAATAATTTGTAACATGTTTATTTTGTTCACGTTCATCATTCACTGTTTTCTTTCTTTTTTTGTAAATTTGCTTCCATTATTTATTTGTATATACAGTTTTTCTCTTTGAATGATTCATTTAATTTTTGTGACTTAACCGCTTGAGGTTAATGGTCGCTGAGTTTGCTGGTCATCAAACAGATCTTAATTGTTCAGTTCGTAAGTATATTTAGCGAGATATTATCGATGTGTCACCACATGCCCAATTGCGTCTCTGACGCAATTAATATGTTCCCTTGAAGATTTGTAAGCACTCAAATTGATTAGTGCAATCGTGACAAATACTTTCTTTCTCTCTATCTCGCATAAAATGGCAAAAAGTATTTTATCAATATAGTTGTGTTTTTTTATGTAATATTTATTTTGTTTTATACATTAAGAATCAAAAAATTGCAATACAATTTAATATTTTGAAATTTCTTTCGAAGCTATTTGAATAGATTGATTGATGCAGTAATTCATTTCGTACAAATCCAAACATTTCCACGAAAAAAAAAAGAAGAAAAAAGCATGTGTTAACCACAACAAACCGCATCGAAAATGAGCCAAATACTAATCCTATTTGAATAGTCATCAGTTTGAGTGAAAATGAAGAAAGAAAAAAATGTAAATGGTGTGATGCTTTTTTCGTGTTTGAGTTTTGTATGGACTTGAAAACTTAAAATATTGATGGTTTAATTAGTTTGACTATTCGGTGTCTATCTGTTTTCATGTTCTTCTTTCAATAGGTATATTTTTTTATTATTTTAAAAGGCAATTTCGGTAGAAGTAAACAATTTGCCAAAAACGTTAAAACTCTTGGTTTTCTTTTCTTTTTTTTTAACTTAAGGGTAAAATAAAGATTCAAAGTAAGATCAATGTGCTAGATATGCCATGAAAAAAAAAGATGCTATGTGAATTTTACTAAATTTTCTTGCCAGTTGAAATTTGATTTTGATCACTTTAATCATTTCTCTCTTTCTCGATTAAATCAATTCTTAATTTCACTTAATTGTCTTTCTCACTAATAACCGAATATGTCCGTTTATTATAAAAATATTATCCTAACTAATTCTGTAATACTTTTTTTTTGTTCTGTTTTTATTTCTTTCAATTACACACTAGAAATACTTTCAGACAGTGTATGTATTGAAATTTATGTTTCTATCGAAATCAGTTTGTGTAAATATTGATCTGAGACGTATTACATATACATTTTAAATGTGTCCCTACCATTACGATATTTTATCTCATTTCATTATTTGTCATTTTTTTTCCTCCATAAACTTAGTTTTCGTACGGAGTTCGAATATATTCTTTACAATTGTAACATTCATGTTATCATTTAGTTTTTATTTTTATACACAGAAAAAATGAGTTTTATGCTTGCAGTATATGTGGGCTTTTTACCATTTTTTTCTTCTTCTTCTTTGCTTTCGTTTTTCGCAGTTCAGCATATTGTGTTTGGCTATATTTTTCACTATATATTTCGAGTGTGTTCGCAAGTTTGATTAAATAAAGGCCTGATTGTTATGGCAGAAGAGAAATTAACATCGTTTCGTATGCACATAAACAATTGATGCGTGCAATGTATAGGATTGTGCCATGATTTTGAACGAAATAAATGGACTTTTGATTTGAATAACGACGCAATCAATTCTTATTCAAGCGCATACAAAACTGATGTCATCTCTTCGTCCATTTTGAGACTGTGTATCATATGCTCATTTTAATAACGTATTCGACAATACATTGACCTCTTGAACTTGTCTTCATTTCAATTTCTCTCCTCATACTAAATTGGAATCACAGAAAACTTAAATTGTCAAATTAAAAATAGAACATTTGTTTCTTTCCTCTATAATTTATAAAGTATATCTTATTTTCTCTTTTCATTCAATTAAATCATACGGTTTCCACTAGAGTTTCAACCGTTGTATCTAATATATAGTCTATTTTGTGATGCAATGAAGTCGCAAAAGGATGTATGCATTTATGAATTGTTTGTTGATTTGCACATACACACAAACGAGTTAATCTATGTTTCGGGACTCATCCTATAGTTTACTGCTGGTAGATCGACGCCTGTTCGATTTGAAATGGAAGAAAAGAAGAATATTGAAATGATTGATTCTTAGCGTTCTATAGCACCTTCTAGTGTGTGTGTGTGTAGATGGATAATGAGTGCAAAGCAAATAGAGTAAATGAATTTAATGAGTTTAGCAACAAAATTGATAAACAAAGCATTTATAGCCAATTGATAATTTTGACGACTGTGTTTTTTTTATGTCAATGGTCTGGTTTCTTTTTAAATAAATTTCATTTTACAATCAAAATAATAAGCAACAAATGTAGAGTATGCAATGAGAACACAAATAAAAACAAAGCGACGAAAAACATGAAGCCATGAGCTTACACAAAGAACATAAACAAAACAAAATTTGAAAGGAAAAAAAAATTTACGTTTTCTTTTGAGTATTTTTGTGTGAAATGTACATAATAGCCAAATGGAATGTTTAAAATCAAGAATTGTGGGGGACCAAACGAAGATAAAATTTAGCTACGATTGAACTACAATTAGCTAAATTGCTGCATTTGGATTCGTGCTTTCTTATCTGGGATTGGCTTGTACATGACGGCTTTATATGAATTTTGTTGCTGACCTCCTTGATCATACCCATGATGGCCGGCTGATGCTGAACGTGAACCACTGGATGGTCTACTACCAATTGCACCGTTGCTACCACCTGATGAATGATGCTGTCGCCGGGGATCGACATTTCGACTCGGATGACTATTTCGCGAACCATTATGCGATGGTGCATGATGGCTTCGACTAGCATTTCTGCTCACGTGACCAAAACTTTCATCGCCTGAACTTCGTGACGGTGGTATACTCCGCGGACCAGCTGGATATCGATGATGTCCACCATGATGCCGCTATTTTTTTTTTGTATGAAATAAATAAAATTCCGTTAAAACAACGATGAAAACGAAAATCGAATTTCGAACGTTTCTTCAGTATACAAACCATTCTTCGTAAAGTGTGCATCGGTCGTCGAAGTGTTTCTGAAAAACGTCTGGCCGGTGGTCTCTTCGGATTTGAGCTTGGCGTGTGCACGGCACAACATTTTATGAATATTCCCATTATAATTATGAAAATGATGGCAAATAATACGCAAATATACCAATAGTCAGTGACCTGAAGGGGGAAAAATCACAAATGGATAAATTGAAATAATGGAATAGTAATTGAAATAATGGAATAGTTACCCATTGTTGAACCGTATTTAATGTATGTTTGTTGAACAATAAATTCTTCAAACGAGCAAGTGGTCCTTCGGCATCAATGGCGCGACATTTTAGGAATACATCGCAATAACCTTGGAAATTATCACACGGTGAACCGGGTCGCAAACTTATACCTTCTGGTGGAAGCCCAACTTCGGTGCCAAATTCGCTTGTACTTCGGCACGTATTTGTATCGTTGCCATTTTGGCACGCAAGTTCGCATAATCTTCGTTTATCGATGTTTTGGCCTGTGGCCTGTGTTGTTAGGAAGCACTCAGTCATATTCCATAATAGGCATATTGAACCCGAACATTCACCACGAATACATAATTGTGTTCCGTTGTTACATTTCGTTTTATCATCACGTGGTTTTGGTTCTGGACATTCAGGTGTTGTGCCATTGCACATTGAACTCCATGAACATTCACTCTCTTCTTTGCATTTCTGATGATAATGTGCCGGTACAAACATACATTTTTCACTCAAACAACATGGCCCTTGACTTGGGCTACATTGTGTGTATGCACGACGTGTACAACCGCGAGCACTTGCATTTACGCTCATATCAGCATCGCTTATCAATCGTGGATAACAACATTTATCCTGACATTCATCATCGTTAAAACCACAATCACATTCTTCACCAATTTCGACAATTTTATTGCCACAAAATGCACCTTCCGATGCTGTGAAACAGTTTCGCTTTTTACTGTCTTCGATTGCATCTAACACATTTGAGATATTTCGAATGGAACACGTTGAAAATTTACTATTATTCGGCCGATCACCGCTCGTTGCGCTGGCAAACATTATATAGTTGCCACTTAAACCGCCCGGACGACAATCTTGTGGATAATCGTGCTGCAATGCAAAAGTGAGAGGAATAGAAATACATTAGTTTAATCATGACTTGAATTAAAAACGAAATAGTTAATAATTGATAAACACTCACCGGTGAACCAAAATTGTGTCCGATTTCATGTGCTAACGTTAATTGTGACACTTTTGGTGGTACTCGACTATTGTAATTCACAAATGTTATGATTCCGGTGTTTAAAGAACGTTTCGTACTTTGGTATAGACCGCCAACAGTTTCGGTATAAGTTTTGTATTTTTCACAAATTCCACCAGAAGCTCCTGAAGCTGAAGCAACCCAAGCTAATCCCAATGTACCGCCCGTAAAATCACGGTATGTGAACACATAGGCAAGACAAAAGAATTCATGATTGCCCAATGAATGTAGATTTAGAAAATTTGATACGTCAATATTTTCCATGCAGAACGGATTTATATCACCACTGTACGATTCACTGCATGCTGAATCATCGTCAATTTTAATTCGTTGAACCTGAAATTATTTTTTTTTTTTTTTTGCAAATTTAAACAATTTGTCAACAGGAATGTGATTGTAAGTGAATTAAAAGAGAAAAAAAGAGAGCGAGAGCAAGTGAGTGTACGTGCTTACCTCAAATCGAATGTTTCGATGTTCAAATCGTCCGTCAAATTTTGTATTGCGATAGATGTAATTGACGGCTGTGACATGATGTGCGATCAACGACAAAATTTCTTCGCGCGTTTTTTCATCAATTTCTGATTTTCGGCTACGGTCATGCTGTGAAAACAATTGAATCGTTTTAGATATTTGACAACGCCAGCCAGAACAACAACAAAAAAATCGTTTCGGCAAATCATTTAAATGGGTCATGCAAGGTTTGATTTTAATTTGAATGTGAATGTACTTCTGTATTATTGTGTGTGAGAGTGAATGAACTTACATCGGCAATGCCTTCACGAATGTGCCGCCAAATGAGTGGATCGGTTTGAATGTATAACGAGCACGTATTTCGATTATCCTCCTTCGGTCGTGCGGCTCGCTTAACACGTTCCCTCTTTTTATTGCCATTTGCGCCATCATACTCAAAATTAGCTTCTTTTGTATACTTGAAATGCGGTGATTTGTCATCCTCGAAAATGGAGTTTTGATTTTGTTTAACTTTTTGCTTAGCATTTGTCGCATATTTTGCCGTCGATTTGTTTGCATTTAAATTTACTGGTTGAGGTGGTATATTATTTTTGCTATCGTCGACAACGTTTTCGTTGTCATCGTTTTCATCATCGGTGGCTGCATTTTGTACGCTTTCCATCCATTGTGAAATATCTTCGTTGATACCACATCCATTTACATGGCCGTGTTTTCGTTTGTGAGCAAATGGATCATCGACCACATCCCGTTCATTGTAAATAACCGAATGGAATCCATAATCAAGATGTGTTCGATTTGGAAAATATCGTTTTGCATGCTCCACATAGTATGCATTATTTTCGGTTAAAATTTTACCTTCGAACACACCATCGTGTAACGAACCGAACACATGACTGTGCGGATCGCCCAACACATGACCATGATATATATGCGATGTATCAACATACGGTAATTCACCGTTTGGTGTATCCACCTGGACAAAATAGATTAGACCGAAAATAAAATTAGATAACAATTTAAAAGAGAAATGAATTCGATGAAAATTCACGTGCGCCCTTAATATAAATATAGCTCACAACGAATTCAATTTCAGTTGATCGTTTAACATTTGTATTTTTTTTTTTTTTTTTTTTTGTAAATAGATATCGACATGGACACTCACCACTAAATTATCGCTAAATGTATCTACATCACGTTTTAGTCTAAGGTGAAATGGTCGATTGTGTGCACGAAACTTTAAAAAAACGTATGGATCTTTGGTAACCGAACGTTTTGCTCTACTATGACTAGCATGAATCTGGTGATGATCATAGTTTAACGTTTCATAATGTGATATGTATTCGTTCAGGTTTCCTGTGCGCGTAAGATAGAAAAAAAAAGTGAGTGAGAAAATAAACAAATAAAGAATATAATAATCGAATTTAAATTGAATTATAAAGAAAATCAAACAAAATAAATAAATAAAGATATAGAACAACAAAAAACAGACACATTTCATTTCAATTATTTTCAGACATGTGAATCAGACACGAAATGAGTTGAATGAATGTTGCCGATGAAACGTATTGTTTTTTTTTTCGTCTTTGCTTTATTTTGTTTGTAAACTTTTTTGCAAAACAAAGCAAAGTTTCTTCATACGATCACTCGTATTGTGCGATTTGATGGGAATACAATAAAGCCAACAATAACAACACAATTCGTATCCAATCAATAAAACAGAAATATCGGTAAGCTCAATCACCACACACTTACCTCCCAGATTTTTCACCGAACCTATATATGAATGAGAAAAACGCAAATCATTATTTTTATTTGTCAATAGAATAAGTAAAATTGTGTACACAATATAAAAAGAGATTAGCTAAGCTTGATTCAGTGTTTTGTTTGTTTTAAAGTGCGCGCTGATACTTTAAATCGAATAAAAGACAGCCGAAGCAAGCATGGTTTATGGTCTATGAATTGCATAAAGCCTCTATTTACTGTTGTCGGTTTCATTAAAATGTTTCCTCCACGGCTCATGAGCAAGTGGGTCATGCATTCGATTTTATGTTATTTGTAAGGGTTAATGTTTCGTTTTTTTCTTCTATTCCATATACGTGCATACAAATGGTTAAAAAGAAATGACCGAAATGTTGTTCAAGTTTTCCGAGAGCGAATTTTATAAAATGCAAAATAAATCATGCAATTGCAATTTTATCACCGTTTCCGATTTTATGAGCATTAAAGTAATGGCTAGTCAAGTTTAAACTATAACATTTTAATAATTAATTGCCATCACATGGAACACAACGATACCGTCGTCGTCGCAGTTGTCACACGTGCATTTAGTGTTGTTGTCGCTGAGCACAACGTTGCTGGATGAAACGGAAAGTTCAAATGGATGTGAACACCGAGAATGTAAGGACAGAGTATGTGCACATGCATAAAATATGTTGGCAACCACCAAACAGCTCATACAAAAGCATCCAGTCATATAGCCTCTGCTAAACCAAACCAAACCAAACCAAACCAAAATTAGAGAGAAAAAACACGCACACACGGCTTTCAATGTCTAAGTGCTTGGGCATTATATTTTGGACATGAACAACATTTTCACATCGGGTCAAAAGCATTCATATGAAATTAATTATTTTATTAAAGTTGTGCTAAGTTCATTTCAATTTATGCAGAACCACATACGCTGTACGCAGGAAAGAGCGAGAACGAAACATAACCGAGTGCGTACGATATTACATAGATAGAGAGAGCAAGAGAAAGAAGTATGCTGTACAGGTTTTCGGTTTTTTTTAAATGTTTGAAGAGAAGAAATTCTCCATATTCCATGCTGGCAGAATGAAAAACGGAAAGCCAGTGTTCTTGTGAAATATGAAAAATTCTACGAAAACATTTGGTGTCTAGTTTACATTTACGTTCGAGAATTAAAAGAGATGGTGCGCACATTTATGCTTGAGCTTGTACTTGTTACACAATTCATGTTCTTCACTTTCAAAAACATGCACATACTTTAAAATGCGGACAGCAATTTTGACGTGCTCTGTACCATTTTTATTTTCAATTTCTTTTTTTTTTCTCGTCGTTGTTGCAATCTTTCTACAAAGATACGAGTAAATTGGACGAGTAGATGAAATTTTCTGCAAGAATCTCTTATTATTTAATTAATAAATCGACCTATAATGTATAAATGTTCTATGAACGGGTTCATTTCTACGAATACGGTTTATTTATTTATTTCTTGCTGTTTGTGAAGAAAGCGAGTGAAAAAAAAATTGAAATAAAAGAAGATTCAAAAGAGGTTTGGCAAAGATATGGGCAATTGCATTGCTGTATACTGTAAGATTTCGAGTGGACATACTCGGGCATTTTATTTGTTTGCACATGAAACGAAGCAAATCAAAACATTCCATTCTATATAGCGGATATTGCAGTGAAATAGAGAGCGAGAGACGAAAATAAGAGAGCGATAGAGATATAGTTTACTCACCAGTTTCTATGTAATTTGGTACGAACAACACTAAAAATAGAATCCATCCACATTTCGGTGTCATTTTTTGCCCTTCACTTGCACAGCACCAACACGTACTTTCTTTTTTCCAGTCGTCGTCGTCGTCGTCACTGTTCCGTTACTATCTATTTGTAATTTTTTTGCCAATGAGATGAAAAACTCTCGATGCGTCGTGGTCGTCGTCGTCGTCAACTTGAAGCGAGATTGAAAGTTTGGCCATGCACCGAAATAACTATATATTTACGAATGCAGTTTGGTCTTTTTTATCCACTTTTATGCACAAACAATGCGATTCCTCTTTCGATTTTCAATCTAACATTGCATAGGATGTACCACACACATCCAACACATACATACACTAATAGAGATACGACAATAATGACGATGAAAGTAAACAAACGAACAAAAAAACACAACAACAAGAAATGCACGTTTTAACCAGACGTAAATTTTTTGGTTCAGAACAAAAATTCTAATCGAACAATGGAACTAACGATGAAAAATATATTGATTTAACATTATACAATGAATGACAAAATGGAAAAACAAACAAAATTTCAAAAGTCAAATTGCACTGATTCACACTGAAAATTCACGGTTCTTTTCCACTTTCTTTTTGTTTTTGGCATCAAAAACCGAATTTGAATCTCTCTTTTGTTAAACAGTTCTTTTCAACAATGATGAAATTTTACTAGCGGTATCGTTTCTCGTTCGATTCACAATGCCACAATAGAGTTTATACAGCTGAATATATGTATCGGTGATGAGTCATTTATATTTTCTTGTAGTTTATGTTTACATTACTGTTTCAATTGAATCGTTGTTTTTAATTGTCGGCAGCCGATAAATTGTAATTGCACCGATTGATGCTGTTTATTGTTGTGGTTGTTGTTGTTGTTGGTGGATGAAATCGATTCCAAATCATGCACAAACATATTATTTAATCGTTATTGTTTGGCCCGTTTTTGTCGTCGCATGCGAAAAAATTCAACGGTTTGAATGCACATAATGTGAACAAACAAAATCAGTCAGATTCGTTAACTTCATATGTTTGCTCGCGTTTACTTTATATTTCACTGTCACTGCATATGATGTGCGTTGGTTTTTCTGCACCACCGTATTTTCACTGTGTATAAAGGTCTATTGTCGATGATATCGTGTATATCTTCTGTTCACGTGTGTTTTTTGTTTCTCTTAGTTTTTTGTTGTCTTTTTTTTTTGTTATGCTATCCACATGAAACGTGCTCTGTGCGCAATCTAAAACGAAATGGACGCAAATGCAGAAATCCAATTACATTTATTTTCGATTACTGTGTTGTACTCTCAAACATCGATTTTGTTTTCTGTTTGTTGTTTTTTTTTGTAATGTCTTTGTTATACGAGATTTTGCTATTGCTATTATTACCATCTAGATGAATGAATTGGAAAAAGAATATCGCATAAAAAACATGAAAAAAAAAATTAAAAGCATCGATAAAAGCTGATGATTTTATTTTGGTTATTTCTTTCTATTACTTTTATTTCACGAACTCTATTTTGGAATGTTCTTGTTTGTTTATACCGATGAGTGTCAACACTTTGCGTCAATAACAACTCTATTTTACGATTTATATTTTTTTTGCTGTAAAAACTTTACTTTTGTGTTGATTTTTAGTTGGTTGTTTCTATGTTGAAATTTCTTTTCAGAGTTTTTTCTTCTCTATGAGTGATTGAAATCGATGATGGTGATTTCAATTTGCATGCTTCGATCGGTCGATGATTTTCATATGGAAATGCGTACGCGATGCAGTGAATATATGAATTGGATTTGTTTTTTCATTGATTTTCGCTCGTAGATGAATTTTTTTTTCATTTCGTCGAGATGGTTTTCATCTATTTAGAGTTGATTTTTATTGGAACGTAAAATGCATCGTTTTATACTAATTCGCGCGTTAATCAAAATAAAAAAAAAAGTGCACAAACACTTAAAATGCTCGTTTCACTCTCTGCTCATAAATGCATTACATTTCACTTTACGAACCATATCCTACGCGATTTCACGATTAACTATTTTTTTTGTCATATAAATCAAGATTTAGAATGATGAATCTGTTCACGACAACAATAACACGCAGGAAAGCGATTTTCAAATGATAATAATAAATTTAGTCAGACGCGTTAATTATGCCAAGGTTGACCAAGTTTATTATAATAATTATTAATATAGTCTTTTGTTGTTTTATTTGTCTGCCATTGTTGTCTTTTTCTGCAATATTTTTTTTAGATATTTGTGTTTACTTGGTTTCGTCTAAATATTGATGTTATGATAAGTGGCCGTTTTTGAATTGATTCACGATTGCATTTCCACAGTGATTGCCACTTGAATAATTTTATTTCAAAATCGACACCGCGTACACATAAATTGAATTAAGTCTTTTGTATGGGTTTTTTTTCTTTCTTTCTTTGTTTTCGGTTTTTTTTTCTTCAATTTCTGATGTTATTGCCAGTAAATGTTTGGTTGTGCAACGATGATTACGTTGAGTATGTCTGTGTGTTTTCAACAAGTTTCTATCACGGTATCGCGCACTCGACAAAAAAATGTAGAATTTACAATTCAATTTGACGATATGTCACCCTTTTCGATGCACTCAATATCACACTGCTCTTCTCAGCTTTCTAGTTCTTTTCTCCTCTTGCCGCCACTATTGTCCAACGCTGCTAATATTATTTTAAACTTGTCTACTGCTGCGACTGTAAATAGATAAAAAAATCGTGATTAATTGGATAAGATTCTCTCGTTTCTTTGTGATGAAAATCTAAATGTAATGTATAATTAAGTTATTTCTAATTGGAGAGGAGCGAGGCAAACACGCATCTTTAGCTTTATTGAAATCATTCACTCTATATCATGTTATTTGAAACGATGAGTGCATTGTTGAATAATAACGTCAGACAGTGCATTTATTTACAATTGATGCTGGATGTTGTTTGCAAGAACGTACGTACATCAGGACTTGATGCGAATTGATCGACTTGAAACCGGGGGAATGCATTCACAATACTTGTAATGGAAATCAATTTGAGATGCACCATGTCCATATATGTATTCATTTCAGCATAATTCTTTTTATTGCCGTAAAATTCTTTTTTTTTCTGTATTTATAATTTTTTTTATATTCATTCGAAAAATCGATGCGCTCACATTTCCTTTAATTAACATTTTTTTAATCCGCTTTCAAACGACGAATGTAATTAATGACAACCATGGCAAAAAAAGGCGGAAATAATTCGAATGGCATTTTTTGCAAATTGAAATTTTTTCCGAGAAACATTTTCCACATTGGTGTCCGTTTTTCATGGGTTTTATTGAACATTTCCATTTTAAAAATCTATTCAAACTATTTAAATATTTTATTAATTTGAATAGTCTTGTTTAACTCTGTTCTTTTTGCGTGTACTTTTAAATTAACGCTTAACAATTTTAATGGAAAAGATTTTACTTCCACATTCATTTTTGAACCATATACTTCCCACAGATCTATTTGAAAAATGATGCCAGCGGCGAAATAAATCTATTTACTCATTTTCACGCACACCAGAAAATAGATTCTGTGTAAAAGTGTAAATAGTCTATCATATAAAAAGAGTTATGTATTTAAAATGAACGTCTAAAAAATCAAGCTCAGAGATTTTGCCAATGGTTATAAAGACGGACGTATTTTCTACACGCATATTCTCGTCTGCGTTGTCGTGTAAACAATTAGGGAAAAAGGATTCTACATTAAAGTAAATAACTTGACACCGGAAAACAGCTTTGGAGCATATGCCATAGCCAGTAATCAACAAAGCCGTCACCATTTCAAATACACATTTTCCAGAAAGATTTTAGTCTTTTTTTCTGTTCGCTCAAACGAATTTCAAAAGGAAAAAAAAATTCTTCGCAAAAAAAATTCACGGAATTTTAAAAGAGTTTTCCACTGAAAAATTCTCACTCAACTCAATATGGAAAGAGTTTTGACTTATATTTTGCTGCGGGAAAAATGTCAAAATCGATGTAAAAATAATGTGCAACATAAAAGCGTATTGCATTAAAGATTCACATAATGGAAAAAAAATGGAAAATATGCATAATATCATAGAGCTTATTTCAACGAAATACTACAGTGCCGCAATTGACAATATATTTTCATGTTTTAATTATGCGAATTATTTAAAGTTCAGTGAGTTTCATTTCGTCGCCCATTGTATATCGTTCATTTTCGCTTGCTCTTTCCGTGTAGCAACAATAGCGTGAAATAAGGTTTACGAATTATTTAGTTCATTGAAACCGCATTTTGTGAATTTGTGGGTAGATTGGCAGATAATGATAAATGATATATAATGTAATCCATCGGGTTTTTTTTTGTTTTTAGATAGAGATATTGACTACATTTGAAGTTCAAGATAATTCGACAACCGATTCTGACCACTCGAAACATCTGAACGAGATTAATTTTTTTCTGTCTACATTTGATGCAAATTTCGAAATAAATTGCCAATGCCGACAAAATCATTGGCTCTTGGCATTCACCAAATTACAATACATAGAATTTCAAGCATTCCAACGGAGACGATTCATATCGGGCAAAAACTGAAATAAATTGCTAACTACGATTGAAGTGTCGAGTGAGTCATCTCGTTGAATGTATACATTATTTGAGTAAATGAGCGCGGATTGTTACGCGCTGCGAACTCGTTTTCACTCGACTATATTTGTACATGTAGTTTGTGTGCACAGAGAAATGAGGTGGAGAACATAGCGATTGAACATTTTCGCGCGATTAAGTTGACAAACATGAGAGCATTCCAAGTAAATGAACGAAATTCAATTTTTGAATCAGAAGAGAGGAACAGGAACATGATTTTGCGACAAATTAGCACCACACGACGACAGCACTACCACAGTTGAATGGAAAAAAAAAAACCGAAAGAGTGAATGTCTCATTCGACTTAATATTCCCATTTTATTAGCATCGAATATAATGCCGCATAAATACTCTATTCATTCAACAACTGAACCAACTCAATGCACATGCTGGTTAAATTTATAAATGCGCGACACATTTGAACGAATGTTTTTCATTTTAAAACGGCGCGCAAGAGTGCGAACAGCAAACAACAGCCAGCACTCACTCATACACATCGATCATGTATATTGTGTGTATGTGTCAATGAACTTGTAACACATGCAAGAATCATAAATTAATTATTCGATTAGTCATTTGGGTTTTTATTATCGTTGTACTCGAACAAATTTGCATAAAAGCGAACGCGTGTGTGTGTTCACAGTGGTGTTGGTGCTGTTGTTTGCTTGCCAATTTTTGTTTGATGATGCCATGTGTTTGTGTTTCGCGACATATTTAATTCTTTTTTTTTATTTGTATTTACCGCACGGAAGCTTTGTTACCGAAAAAAAAAACATTTAAATGATATCCGTCATCATTTGCCACGAAGCAAACAAATCGGCATTTCTCGCTTTATTCACTTTTCAATGGATTATTATTATAAATCGTTGTATTTGTTTCAATTAACCGAGAATTTCTTTTTTTCTTCTTCTACTCATCAGTTCATATTTCGTTATAGTATTTCATTCCAATTAAAATGCCGTTAGCTATTGTGACCGACGAATTGTAACGCTTCACATTTTTTGACAATATCATTGTTTGTTGTCGATGTGAAGCGACATTTGATTGTTCACTTCTCTTGGAAAAAAAATGATGGTGATCGGTCGTCGAGACAATTAATAGCGAACTATGAACACAATAAAAATGGTGCAAGAAGTAAGAGCCATTTTAAAACCGTTTATGTAAAAAAAAATTAAAACAACTGTGAAATAAACACAAAATAATAACAATAACCATGGATAATAGTTGATCATTATTCGTTGGAGCACGTTTGCTTCGAATAAAGAGGACATGTTTATTTTTTTTTTCGAATTGCGGCCATTCTGTTGGGTGGTTTTTTTTTTCATTCTCTTCGTTTCCAAATATTTCTCTCAACAACTCTAATTGCAATGGCTGTTGAATAAAGCTTTGCGGATTTCAGATAAGCACGTATTCAAATGAGTGCAGCAAAAAAATTGTTTTTATCCTTCAACATGAGATAAAAAAAAACATCGACATTATTCGTTTATCTGACGGACAAAAATGTATATGAAACTTTTCAACAAAAATGTTTATGTAGATTGTAGAACGAGAGGAGAGAGTGAGAGGGAGAGAGAAGCAGAACGAGAAAGACTTAGACAAAAAAAAATACAAGTCGCTTGAAGTGCGGAAACGAAACGATTGTAAATTCCGAGCGGGCATTTTTAACATTGGGACACACATTATGCAAACTTCAACAAAATTTCGAAGGAAATGGTTCGCAAAAAAAAAAATAAAAATCACGTCGTCGTGGCAAAGAATTTGAATATAATTTGCCGTGCAACATTGACGAATTTCTTGTTATACGCACAGGTGTACATAGAAGAAAAAACGGCAACCACAAAAAACGGTGTTGCTACATCTATGTAGCTGTAAACTGTTGTCCAGCAGTGAGAGAAATTTGTGAAATTGGTTGTAACACCCGAAATTTGCTTGTCAAAAAAAGAAAAATTCACGGCATTTTTTAAGTTTGTTAACAAAGCGACTAGTCAGAAGAAAGAAAGAGCATAAGGTTCATTGGTGGCGAGAAAATTGGTCTGAAGTGTCGCTGCTTCGTAATATTTTTCTTTCGTTTTCCTTTTAAATCGAAATTATGTTACGTTATGGAATTTATTTAAAATTACATTTAAGCATTTACATTTGCCATTGGGTGCAAGTGCTGTTAATGTGATTCTATCAACATGTGCAAATGCAATGATTATTTTATAATATCTGCATTCGCTTTGGTACGAAACACAGACAAAGAGAGAAAATACTATGTTGCACATGTAGAATATAAAGTATCAAAACAATGCTGCTCACATTGTGAGAGCAAATTCAATCTGACAAACATCAACATTCACTCTGCTTGTTGTTATTGTTGTTATTATACACGAATATGGAATGGCAGCAATGGCAAGAGAGCAACAAAAAAACCGAGTAGAAGAAACAAATCGAATTAAATGTGGGAAATGCACGATTCATCAACGATAACACGATGTACAAGCGAATGGTAGCATTTAGTGTTTCCAGTGCAAAGAATGAAGAGATTTTTTTCTCCTCTGTATAGATTTATGTTTTTGTACAAACACGCAGTAACTGTCTGAAAATGTCGAAATAAGAAAAATCACTGAGTGCAATGACAACATCATTTGTTGCTCAATCCCTCATGAAACCGTCACGGCTTGATGCCGTTTTCCATGGAACTTTGGTAAATGTTTTTGTGGCTTCATTTTGATGTTGGTTTTTTTTCGTAGATTTGTGCGTTCTCTCTCCGCATTACCTTTTCGATCATAATTATTAGTGCACAAATCTGCTGCTCCAATGCAAAAATTAGTTCATTATAAGGCGGCCCAAGTCTAAGCCCATTACATAAAAACACACATACACCATGATTCGAAAATAGCATTGAACAACCTTCTACAGAATTATTTTCGCACAAACCGATTTGCTGTTATGTTTTTTTTTTGTTTTTGATATAAAAAAAACTAAAGAAGAATGAAAGAAGCCCAAGATCCGGAGTGCCACATGTTTTGCATTGCCATTGTTTTTGCAGTCCATGGTTTAACCTTATTAAATTTTTCGCGAAGTGCTTGGCCTATATTGGGTGCCAATAGCAACAGAAACGATGAAGCCAAAAAAATAGTGTGTGTGTGTTTTTTTTTTCGAAAGTTTCACACAATAAATCAAGTGAAGAAAAATTGTGTATTTTGCGTTTTGAGAAAAAAAAAGAAATAAATACATGATTTTTTTTGTTGTTGTTTTCGTTTTCGCATTTTTTCACATAAACACTGAAAACTTTTGGCACCGTTCTAACCCAAAAATTCTTATGAACTACAAAATAAAAAAAAATCGCATGCAAAATAAAGTAAAGGGTATTCACTTTTTTATGCTGTGAAATCAATTGTTGTATCCAATTTTTGTGAAGATTCGTTGTCGATGTGTTGCATTTATTTCTGATTTTTGTTGTTGTTGTTATTTATTTATTTCGCCAGTCAAACAAGAATGTTTCACCAAAAATAGCACCACAATAAACCGATCCACACTAACACTACTAATTAAATCAAGTATTTCTTTGTTTTCATATTTTTTTTTCTTCTTCTTTGAATATCCATTAGATCGCTGCTGATTTAGTTCTTTGTTGTTTGAGTGTTGTGGCGAATGAGTATCAAATTATTTATGCACCATATTGAAATTGATGTGAAACTAAAACCGAAACAAAAATATCGAAATGCTTCTGATTGCACTCAGTCTCATTTGAGAAGCCAACGCCAACCAAAAACTAAAATGCACACTCAACAAACGAAAAAATAAATACCAATCTCTTGTTATTCTCTGTTGGATTTTTCTCTTCTATTTCTGGATTTGGTCTCTTTAGTTTTCTTTAATATTCATTATGCCACTCACAATGTGTATGTACACATTTATATGTCTATATAAAAAAAAAAGAAAAACACACAAATACGACCGACAGCACGACCAAACAATGAATGAGTGAAAATGAGATGAATAGACTCTGAATTGGATAGACTGTTGTTCAACTTCGCATATACATATAGTGGTTTAATATGATTTTACTGAGAAAGTGACAGAGAGCGATACGATTCAATGCACACATACATGAGCGCATAGCATTGTACGTGATACATCTGTAGTTGAACTAGAACAAAAATACTCTCTCTTGCATACGCTGAGAACGAGACAGAGCACCGTTGGCTTCAAAAAAGATCTGACTGCGAGAAAAGACCGACCAAACATTGCAACATGGTATGTTGATGTTGACTCAATCAAACACCATTACATACATATTCATCTATTTGCACAAACACACATTTATCAATTAAGTATGTTGAATGACTAACCAATGCTACCATTGTTCACTCTTCAAAATGTTTCAGGTTTCATGCTCATTTTTAATATATTCTTCATGTTTTTGATTTAAATCAAAATTTATTGAATTAAAAAAAATATTCACAGGAATTTTATGATTTCATAAAATGAAAACATATTCATAGTTACTTTGGGTACTTAAAGCATATAAAAAGTGCGTTCAATCTTCAACATATCGGTATTGAACTGCACACTCATCTGTCAACGATGGATTCACTTGTGTATGGGTGTCATTTGCAAATACCATCATATAGTGTTTTCGTGATAAATCGAATTACTTACGTGCAACTGGAAAAAAGACAATAATAACAATGAATCAAGGGCCAGTATCTTGTTTACCTATGAACAGTAAAATGTCCAAAGTGAAAAAAGCACTCGACGATGCGAGAGAATCTCGTGCCCGCGAATTAGATTTGGTGGATAAAAATGTGATTTCATTCGATGAAATGCCAGGCCTTCGTAAGTTCACATTAAAATATGTTTGCTATGCAGAAAATGTCCATATTTGGACAAAAATCATAAAAGTTGTTTTTCAATGTACTATGGGCTGTGGGCGATGATCTATGTCAATGCATATGTTTTATTTTGAAAATCAAGTGTTTTTCCACTTTTAAAACACGACAAATTACACAGAATTTAAAATGATATTTTATCAAATATTACCAATTTTTATGATTGTACTTGATCAACGATCATTGTTTATCTTCTTTCAGTAAATATGCTGAATGTGACACGAGTGACATTGAGTCATAATCGCATTGCATGTAAGTTATATTAAAAATAATGTCAAATTGAAAATAAAACAATTTTAAATTAACACATTTTCAGCAATTCCACCGGGCATTGCCAATTTAACGAATCTGGAGATTTTGAATTTGACCAACAATTGTATTGAAGAATTGCCCGTATCAATTTCTTCAATGCCAAAACTTCGCATTTTGAATCTGTCAATCAACAAGCTGAGTTCGTTGCCACGCGGATTTGGTGCGTTCCCAGTCCTTGAGTTACTCGATTTGTCATACAACAATTTGGACGAAAAGGCATTGCCTGGCAATTTCTTTATGATGGGTAAATTTGAATCTCAACATCTCAAGCACTTGGAATCTAATCGAATTTTTGTTTGTTTATAGAAACTCTTCGTGCCTTATACTTGGGAGACAATGAATTCGAACAACTTCCACCTGGTCTCGGAAACTTGAAGAATTTGCAAATCGTAAGTTTATGCAAAAAATCGGGATTGTAATTGAAAAATGTTGTGCTCATTTTACATTTTTCATCGTAGTTGGGACTTCGAGACAACCAATTGTTGAATATTCCAAGGGAAATTGGTGAATGCACACGTCTACGTGAATTGCACATTCAAAACAATCGTTTAACCGTTATCCCACCAGAAGTTGGTTAGTTTGGCAACTTAAATTATACTTACTAGAATCTGTAACATTTCTGTTGGTGATTTTCTTTTAGGTTTTCTCGATTTGCAAAGCAACAAATCCGTTCTAAAAATGGAAGAAAATGAATGGCTTCCCCAAATTGCCGAACAATACCTTCTCGGAATTAATCACGTACTTGAATACATCAAAACCGAAGCATACAGAATGTAAGGACACAAATGATTTTTGGAAAACGCCCTCTTCCACATTTCAATTCATTGTCAACATTTTTAATTTTCAGAATGTATAATCGTTTGATGAACGCCGGTTTGGGAAAGGTTCCACCAAGAATCGACAAAAGTAAGAAAGCATCAAGACAAAAGAACTAAACATTCACGATCGTTCGAACGAAACGAAACGAAGAAAGTATAATGAACTAAACATAACTACTTTGCCAACAACTACTTAAGCGCACATCTATTTACTTACCACAAGAAATGAATGTTTAACGAGTTTTAACTAATTACAAAGTATTTGTCTATTTACTAAAAGAAAGCGGCCAAAAATTGGAAATAATGCGTGCCTTAATATCATTCATAAATGAAATTTTTTGATTTATTGTTCATGTATTATCAAATGTATTTGACTTTTTTATTAACAAATTTATATATTTTTTCAATGATTTTATTCATTGGGATGACTTACAAAAAATTATGTGAAATAAAAAAAAAAACTAAACAAATCCAGACGAGTTTTATGAATTAAAATGCTCCGGTAATGGCTCGGTCAAGTAGCGAATTTATTGAAACTGGTATCCAATTAACGAAACTACCGTCACTCAACATCACAACAGTGCGATCGATGTAGCAAAATAGTTTGCCAACACGATAGACCTGTTTGCCATGTTCCCGTCGACCCGGCATCGGTGCAAAAATGATTCCACGTTCTGCGCATTTTTGTGAAACCAGTTCTTTGAATTCGAGTTGTGGTGCTGGTGCAATATGTAAATCCATAAGTGATGGTGGCGGTGGTACATTCACAATTGGTTCGATAATCGGTGTTGGAATTTGCATATTTGACGGTAGAATAGCGCCGGTTGAACGTTGCATTAAATCGAGAGCACGACGGAAATGCTCTTTTATTGTATTTTGTTGTAGAATCTCATCGGAAAATTGTGATTTCCATCCCGAATACCATCGTGAAACTTGCTCGAAGTTTGGATTCTGATTGAGCCAAATGACAAGGGTTTGCATCCATTTTGGGAAAAAATACTTGGAAAGCATCTGTGACATTGCCGATGTTGATATTAATTCATGCCATTCCCATACGCATTTGAATTGATGCATATCTTGATGAAGTGGATTGATGATTAATTCGGCTGAAAAGAATCAAAAATGAGGGGTTATCAAACTGATGGAGAGATTGACATTAACAGTCGAAGGTATTTCGCTGAATACTTACATAAAACTAACTGCAATTTCGGAACAATATTTTTTTGTAAAAAATTTTGAAAGTCTGAATCTGGAAAAATGCCGCTCCAAGGTGAAATTATGTTCCGTGCTGACCCATCTGATGGTGACCATGAAACAAGTGCTTTGCTCAATTTTTCCATAATCACTGGATAAACAGTTTCCTTCATACTTGCGCCGAGTAACGTGTGCCAAGGTGTGACCCAAAAATGGACCGGAAGAGTATCCGTAGTCGGATCCCATAGTTCAACACCCTTTACAATTCGCGGTAGAATTTGTTTTTCAAGAACATTATCAAGTATATGGGCTGGAAATAATTTTGCCCAAATATCAAGCAAATTGGCCATTGGTTCATGATTTCTTGGATTCCATTCGTTGATGGCTGTGCGAATATTTGGAATAATGCCAAACCAAATCAACGACGAATATGGACTGAAAATGTTATTTTCACTTTTATTATCATTTAAAAATTCAAAGCGTTGGATAAGCTTCACTGGATAAGCGGGCATTTCAAAAACATCCCATTCACGTAATTCTTGTTGAAATAATGGTGCAATCACACCGGGAACCAAATCCGAAAGTCCAAACTCTATGTATTCGTCAGGATAATCATTGAGTATGCCCATGAAAATCTCTGCTGATTCGCTCAATGTTAACGGCTGCTTTGGTGATGTCAATGATTCAACCAATTCCAACACATGCTCAATCGTTTCAATATGATCCTGTTCTAATTTAACAATTTTCTCCAAACTGTCTCTATCTTGACGCAACACAACTTTTCGATCGGAAGCTGTCTTTTGATTTTTATCGATTTGAATGATTTCCTGTTCGCACAAGTCCAGTATCAGATCCAAATTGTGTGTCAGTTCTGGCAAACTAAAATTGGTACATTCCTTAACCGTGCGTTCCTTATACAGGTTTTCATCGGCTACTTTAGTTTGACCTAGTGCATGATAACCACTTAATACACGCTTTTCAGGACCAGTCATATCAATCACAACGGTGTTCATCTTTGAACTGAAAAACATAGAAAGCACATTTTAAAATACATCCATTTCAATCTTAATTAGTTTAAAAATGAAAAACTTACCTCAACTTATCTGAAAGTATATAAGTTGGTTTCTTTCCTTTCTCAATAATATCTTCGACACTTTTATAGTTTCGCTTCTTCTTCGATTTTGAGTCGTTTGTATCTTTTCGCCATTGGTCCATTTTCTCTTTAAACTCTTTGGCCTCTCTTTCATCGTCGTCAATTTTTGGCTTATTTGATTTTGCATCGCCAATCGTTTGACCAGGTTGTTCGGTGCCATAAGCACCAATAGCACCACGTCCTTTTCGCACATGAGCTTGTACGGGTTGTGAAATACCTTGTAAATCTTTGCCTAAACCTCTTCCCGGCTCGTAACCCATTTGAAGTAAAAGTTTGGCCCCAATACCACGAGTATGCTGCTCCCATCCGCCCAAACCACGATTCGATATTGAATTAGATGTGAATTGAAAACTCGATTGATTTTTCTTGCCGCCACCAAACGATATTTGTGGTCTTGCTTCACTCTCCGATTCGCTTGATGTATTGCCGCCCTTATCATCATTTGATTTCTCTGAAAATATCATTACATTAAATTCTTCATTCTGTAATCAAATGAATCATACTACTAACCTTCATCTGATTTCATGGTTTCTTCGTCTTTTTTCTTTCCCGATTGTTGAACGCCACCGGCAACAAAACCAATGGGCGCCGCATAATCTTTTGCTTTGCGTACATTGGTCCGGTTTCGACCTTTAGATGTGCTTTGTCCAGCATCATCATCACTGTCATCATCAGCCCAAATTCCATAAATTTGTTGATTTTTTGTCGGTCGCCTTCGACCCATTCGATTTGGATTGAATTCATTTTCCAAATCGTAATCGTTTATCTCAAACTTTTCATATTCGGTGTCAGACATTTTTCTTCGAATTGTTTTTTTTTTTTTTTCTACACAGAAAGCTTGAAAATAGTTTGACACACTCAACACATATATCTACTGAAATATTTTCACTGCTAAATTAATACTTTCGCTGTTTGTATTGATAAGCAAAAGTTCATTCTGCAGTCGAATACATAATGCCTTTCTACCACTATGCATTGGCTACATCGAGTTTGACGTTTCAACAACGTTTAAAACATCCATTTGACATTTCAAGTGACGCTGTCACAGTGCGTTACCAACCTTTCGAACCAAAAAAAAATTGACCATCATAAAATGAGCACATTTTAGTAAAATGAGTAAATTGACAAAGTAAATATCCGAATTAAAGTATCTCAGTAGCCATTTATTTGTGATATTAAAAATCGAAAAAATAAAATCGAATTTTATCCAATACAACATAATAAATTCAGTGGTTGTGTGAACGAAAGGTAATGCACTCCAGTGCTGTGTATTGCATTCGTTTTTAGCCCGAATCTCTGCTAAAATCACGTATGATATATATACAGTCACTACAACATATGTAACAAATCCACGGAAAAAAATGTGTACGATTGGGAAAAAAATATTGTTCGCTGACGCACACATTGACAACGTTTGCTGCGATAATACATATGCAATAGGGCAACAACAATCGCGCGCTTCAACCCAATGAGATGGTTGTTGTATGTACCATACATACACATAAATACAATAAAAGAATGAAACTCGCGAAACGCCGAAACGCCATGGAAAAAAGTACAGATATTCATTTCATTAGTAATATTCAAACCCATAGAATAGTGCGGTGAGAATAGGTGCAACATTGTTGAGTTCTTATAATTTCACATCCCAAAAAATCTGCACATATATAGACACTCATTTTCTCATCATTCTTTAAAATTGCATCAAACGAACACGAAGTGTGTAGTGAATGCAGTGCATTTTGTATTTTCGTTAAAATTAAAAGAGAAAAAAAAACACACACATTACTCCTAGTTATGAATTAGATAAATTCGAATACAATTTTTTTTTCTTTGTTCATTGTTTTTGGTGACAGTAATCGTATAAGAGGTGAACTTAAACAAGAAATTTACTATTTAAAATTGAAAATAATAAAAAAAAGTATACAATTTTTGCTGGCGAAGACTCAAAGGAAACGGCATAAAAAATGGTTCAGGTAATATAATTTCGATGGAAGTTTTCGAGAATTTTTCTGCCAATAGTTTTTTCATAGTTGTTTCACACCACAATTTCATTTTCGATAGGGATGATTTTGCATTTTTTTGCTGTTGAATTTTTTCTTTCAACATTGAATTCGGTTCAATGCTCATTGTTGGTTTTGACGCAGTTTTTTTCCCTTACTCTCACAATGACTGATTTCATTTTTTTTTCATTCGCATAATTTCCGAGGATTGGCATTTTGCATTTAAATTGAACGAATTGAATTGAACATTTTTCACATAGTCAAAATGGAGATATAGAAAAAAATCAGATTTTTTTTCATGTTTTTCGTTGCATGAAATCAGATCGTAAAATCGGTTTGCATTTTCAAAAATTCAAAATTTCAAGATGTAAACTGGCCACTTTCGCACATCGATGAATGAGAGAGAATCATACCGATATGTGGATGGAAAGAACGTCGTATACGACGTCGTAGCTGTAGTCGTCGTCGTCGTCGTCGTCGTTGGCCAGTGTGCTCATAATATTATTATGTAGGTTTTGTTGTTGACAAGACACCATGTGGAAGATTACACACGTAGCTCTCGGAACGGCTTTGAATGTTGCTAAGTAAATATGCAAACCATGTAGAGAATATACGTCGTCGTTATGTACGCGCTCTCTCCTTCTGTCTCGCTTTCTCTCGTTCACATTTTCGGTTACTTTGTGCGCTGAACACATGAACGAACATGGGCAACGAGTGAACATCTTAGGTTATGTGTTGCTCCTTGTGTGTGCTCTTGTGTATTTTTCGCCTCATGCCGTCAAGTCAAGTAAAGTGTGTCCGAATATACACACACGCTGCTGGTGCTGCTGTTGCTGCTATTCTCTCATTCATATTTTGCTTATGTATTTTCTGTCAATGTCTGAAGACGGCATGCTTTCTTAGTTCTGTGGCGGCTTGTTTGTTTTGATATTTTTGCCCCGTCTGTCAGTAGTCGTTGGATTCGTTGCATATCTGCATCACTGGACATTTCCGCATCAATTTGTAATTTTCGGATCTGTTGTTTTATTTTTTTTTTTGTTTAATCTTTTTCCATTAGTTGAGTTGGATGCAGGAAAACGAAAAAATAAAAATAAAAAAATACACATACATATAGTTCGCGAGAAAAAAATTACGCTTGGCGCGGAGAAAAAAACATGAACGGATAAATGCATTTCATGCAAATAAAATGTGTGCAACAACAAAAAATTGGAATAAATAAAAAATGACAAAAGTATTAAAAAAAATATGCGGAGAGGGCAAAATAAAATTTGCTTTGCAAAGACGAGGTATGTGGAGTTGAAAAAAAAAATCGTGGAATTAATAATAATATATAGAATAGCGCAGCGCAACGAGATTTATACATGTTACATCGAGAGCAGCAACCATCAGCAGCAACAACAAAATGTACAAATTTATATATGAAAAAACGTAAAAAATATCCAGCGAAAAATAAATAAATAAAAAAAAAGACGAGTATGGTGCAGGCAAATCAACTCGCAGAGTGTACGGTGATCCGATTCACGGATTCGCCAATCTCGCGCTTTCTGTCTGTGTGTGATTGTGCATAGCGAGTGGCTGTGAAGAGTGAACTCGAAAAAACGCATACACATTGATTCCGATGGTGGCGATGGTCACGATGACGGTGATGGTGTATAGCAGGCGATGCCACTATTCGACGAACTGAAATCACAAAATGCGCGCAAAAAAAGCAAAAAAATAGACGAAGAACGAAAAAAAGCACACAAACGTGTGCACGGGAACAAAAAAAAAATTGCCAGCAACCTGAACTGTTGTAGCAGGAGTAGAGCGCACTGGCATCAGCATTACAGTAGCAACAAAAACAACAACAGCAGCAACAGCAGCAACAGCAACACACTATAACCATCAAAAAAAGGGATGCAGAAAAATACGACTGACGACGAAATGGGTTGAGCCGCACACAAAAAATGATTATTGATTTTCTTGTCAAAGTTTTGTTTGCGATTGTGTGGTGATTTTTGTTTACTTTTTTCAGCTTGTTCGTATCCTCGGTACATACACTCACTTTGTATGTGCAATAGTCCAGGCAACAGCAGCAACGGCAGCAGTGTATTCCTCATTGCCGTTTTTTTCTATTTTTTTTATTTTATTTTTTGTTCGATTTGTGTTCGTTGTATCTCTTCTTCCTGCTGCCGCTGCCACCGATGATGGTTCTCTATTCAATTCATATTTGGTTCGTTATTGCTGCTGCTGCCATTTTTATTCTATGGATTTCTGTGTTTTTTTTTTCATTTCACTATGCGCTTCAGTACACTTCTTTTATTTTTGCATCTATTTTTTGTTATGATTTTTCCTATTTTTTTCTCGCTGCTCTACTGCTGTTGCTGCTGATTTTTTTCATTTCGGTCAATGAAAAAGAATCGAACGAACGTGCTCGCGAATTGGAATGAGGGGGGCGGTACGCGATGAATCCATTATTAAACGATGATAAAAATGGAAAAGAGAAATGAAAAACGAAAACAGACAACATCATAACTACCGTATGCAATTTCAAACATTGTAGAGAGATGATATATATTGAAAATGGATAATATTCCCAGCACTTGCGATGTTGTGTGTTTTTTTTTCGCTTTCTCTTCCTATCTTCATCTCTCTGCTGGACATTCATGACGTTTTTGTGCTTGTTCTGTCCCTGTCCGGAGTTTTTTTTCTCTTTTTTTCTCGATATATATATATTTGTGTGTGTGTGATTTTTTTCCATTCCTTTCCACTTCCACTGGACATTCATTTGTTTTCGTTGTTATATTGTGTTCGGTTATTTGGTATATTCAATCGATATCTTTACGCGACTGATTTGATAGGTTCACAATGCATGCAGAATAGCAAACAGCATCAACATCAGACATTTGCAGTATTAGTTCTGCTGTTCACCTTTCCATCATATCCCTTTTCCATTTGGTTTCGTTCAACCTTGCTCACTCTCACTTGCTTAGTCATCAGCTCGGCACCGGGGCTCAGCCAGGTAAAATGAACGAGCGAACGAATCAGCAAGAACACATATTTATGAATCGAACAGCGCGACTCCTATCAATTATGTATCCATGTCCAACGAAATTTTCTCTCCCAACTCCATCAACATATCAAACGAAAATATGCAGCCAAATCCGATTAATTGATATTCCGCACAAATGAATTCTTGGTCGTTCTCTTTTTAAAAATGCAAAATCCTCCACATTATATCTATCATTCACTCGTGAACACACATCACAATGGCGCGCAATGGTCAAACGAGTTATTCGAAGTAAATCGAAGCGTTATTAATTATGGGCCGATTTTTACATTTTTATGAAATCGTCGAAAAATGGTCATTTAAAAATAAAAGCACACAACATTGGGAGATACAATATTAGAAAATAGAATTGATCAGAATTCCATGCGAACTATGAAAAAAAAAACACATAATGACAACAACGACGTTGGAATCAAAATGTTGAAGAATAGCCATGTCGTGAACGGAATAGGGAAATAGAGAGGAAGAGAGCGAGAGTAAGTGCCAGTAAAGTGGCCCCATTTTTTGGGGGAGACACTTGTATTGTTTCATCAAAACAAATACCAATATGAGCACTATAAATCAATCGAACAATATATCACGTAGTCTCTTTCGATTCTCTTGTTGTTATTATTCTTGTTGTTGTGTGTGTTCAATGCGGAAAAATTTTCAACTATATGGTCGAAACCAAAAACCAATGTACATGCCAATAACAGTGATGTGCTATGTGGTGTGAGACTATTGGGTGGTTATATTTATTTCAGTTTTTAATTTTCAATTTTTTTTTCTCGTATGTGTCTCGTTCTCATACAATAATGTTTTTTTTTTTTAAATGGCGTTGAATGTATTTTTAGGCTTTAGATGACTATGAAATCGAAGAGGACTTGCCAAACGCAATGAAGCTGCTCGGCGAGATGAATAATAATGTAAAACAAGTTTCAGATTTGGTTGAGGGTATGTTGCAACGCGTCAAAAGTGGTGAACTCACAACCGAATATGGGCTTAGTTTTCTAGAGGTTAGGTATCACATGCTGTTGACATATTTGATTAATCTAACCTACGTGGTGCTCCGAAAATGTTCAGGTAAACGTTCAAAATCAATTTGAAACAATGTTTTAATATTATCGAATCCATTTCGACCAACAACAAAAAAAAAACGCACGATTTTATGCGATTCTAATTCAAATGTATTGTCTTTGTAATTCTGTAAAAATAGGCAAAACAATTGAACGGGATCCGTCTATTGACCGCTTGATTGAAATACGTACAGTGTTGGAGAAAATTCGACCAATCGACTACAAACTACGCTATCAAATCGATAAATTGGTTAAAACAGCCATTACTGGTGTCACCAATTCAAAAGATCCAATTAACTTCAAGGTAATAAACAAATACATTAATAATATACATTATACTCGGAGTTTTACTACATTGACATTGTTATTTATTTGAATACAGCCAAACTTGAGCGCTCTCACCACTCAAATAGAAACTGGAGACACAGCCGAAAGTAGTGATGACTCAAACGATTCAGACGATGAAGCTAATAAATCCGGTAAAAATGGCAAAAAATCTGCTTCAACCAAAGATGGTGGCGTTTATGTACCGCCAAAACTCAGCGCTGTTCATTACGATGGTGAAGATACAAAAGCAGAACGCGCCCGTAAACAAATTGAACGTGCCAGAAAACGAGCTTTGAAGTACGAATTTAACACAATTAAAATATATTTGCTATCCATACTATTTGATGAGAGAGAGAGAGAAAAATTAATCGAATCAACATCTATTTTCTTTTTTCTTTTCAGTTCAAATATTATTCAAGATTTGAAAGAAGAATGTTTAGATACACCGACTGAGATAACAGAAGGTTCACGTGCACAGCAACTCTTAACCCGAGCACAAAAAGAAAAGGAAGAATATGAAGAAGCTTATCTTACACGATTACCTGTCACCAAAGCCGAAAAGCATCGTCAAAGGAAACTCACCACACTCGGTACATGGCACAAATTTCAGTCCTTAAATGAAACTCAATTCATAGTCTCATTGTTAATTTTGGTGTATTTTATTTAAATCACATAGGCACTCTCGGCGATGAGATCACCAGTTTTGGTAATATCAGTGCACTGAGCGGATCGGCATCGGGTTCATTGCCAAAAGGCAAGAAGCGAAAGTCAAAGGGCCAATCGAAGCGTCGTGGTGGCAAGAAACGAAAATTCCACTGAGCAGACGCATCTACATCATCAGCCCATGGTGTCTCGTTTCTTGAGCGACAAAATTCCAATCACACAACTCTCCTTTAAATAGTTTTTTTTTGTTTACTCGATTTCTCCATACCATATTATACTTTTTCGGTTGAATTGATTTCCATACAAGATGGAATAATTTCGTTTTTAATTTGTTAATCGATTTATTTTCGAGGTTTTTTTTTTTGTTTATTAAAACATAAATTTTAGTTGAAAAAGTAGTTTTTTATATATTTTTTTTGATTATTTCCATGTTGTGCCAAAGCACTAAGTTTACATTTTATATATGAAAACAAAAAAAGAAAATGAAGACGACGAAGAAGAAAACTGAACACATAGGTAAAAAAAACGCAATTTGAAAATGTTCGCAATGAAATTTTCCATTATTTCGCTCAATCGTATCTCAAATAAAATAGCAAATACAACAAACAATACGCGCGACACATCCAAGTCACGTATAATTTAAATCAGAATTATAAGTAAAAAAAAAGCACAGTTAAAGTTATATTTTTTAAAATAGTGTAAAAAAAAAGCAAACGAAGGTGTGAGAAGATGACAGAAGTTAAGCAGCATGAAAAAAACCCAGATTTAATGTGATTTATTTGACACAAGCACACATACACAAAAAACAAACATATGATGTATAAAGATGAAATAGATACAAAGAGAAAAAAAAACAGGAACCATATATAGGAAAGAAGAAAGAAAAATTCACATACAATAGTCCGGAACCATATTTGATTTTTATGGTTGAATGTGGTATTTAAATTATTATCAAATACGAATTTTTTAACTCACTCATGTTTCGTTGTAATATTCGTTTCCTGTGTGAAATTGTCAATCACATACTACATTTGATGTGAAATTTATGCAGAGCCAAAAACAGTTGAAACATCAATCAAGACGACACAGACACAACTACACACATGTCAATAAGATTGACACTCGTGATTGGCCAAATAAATGTCCCGAATGTAGGAGAAATGTCAAATGTCACAAAATCAATGTAATTAAATTAAATATACACAAGTTGCCTTCGCTTAAATAATTTGTAATTAAAAAGCAAACAGAATCAATAAACATAATTGGGGCATCAGACAAACATAAACAGTCAATACACCGCCACATTTTTTTCTACAGTTTCACAAAACATAGACACATTCATTCAGTCACTTGCATTCTCAATTAAAAAATGGTGCAAATCAAAATGGCAATACCGTACATACGCAAGTGCAAATGATGCCCCATAAAGAAGAAAATAGAAAATGAGATCAACAGTGAACACACAAAAACAAAAAACTAATTGACTATAAACCATCAATGATATTTTATGTATTGTAAAAACAAACCGAATTACAAGAGATAAAAACAAAAAAAAAAAACAACAACAATAGAACATATTGAACATTTTAAGAAGATTTTTTTCGTTAATTTTTTCATCGCAATATGATATTCATAACAAATCGAAACTCAATTTACAATAAACAGCAACACAACAACAACAACAACTAAAGTTCCTCTCAAAATGCCATAGATAAAAGAAAAATGAAACTAAACAAACAGCAAACATTCACGGTACATCCATTGTGATGTGCCGTGATTCAATAACCTAGGTTAATTTTAAAAGAAAATGAAGAAAAAAATCGAAGCACCGTTTGTATAATAAAACAATAGTCAAATAAGGATTCTGTTGACATTTACACAAAAAAAAAAAAAAACAAGCAAACAAACAAGATAAAACAATGAGATATAGATAATTTGTAAAATGGCCTTGTTTCTTTGACCGCCACGTGTGCACGTGATTATCGCTTATTTACTTGAGATCGACTTTATAGCTAGTCTCGGTGTGTGATGATCACATGCATGCATCAAGTGAGAAACATATTTTTATTAGAAGTTTATGTTTTTTGATATTTTTGTTACATTGGTATCGTTATTAACAAAATGCTTTAGTTATTAACTTATATTAAATCGCTTAAACATTAAACAGTGATCATATTTAATATTTACTTACTTACTGTATTCAAAACGGAAATGAAAAAGTGAAGCAAAACAACGATCAGTGCGCAAACTCTCTTCGTATTTCAATTTGAAGATGTTTGATGGTAGCACCGAAATGAAAACATTTCAAACGAGCAAAATGATACAACCGAAAACAAGAAATTTGAAGAAAAAAAAAATGAAAGACATGAAAACGTGTATTAGTGCAATGATCTGTTATTGATATGTATATTGTATAAATGTGATCGAATCAGGCCACAAATTAACACTCAATGAAAGTGGCAGTGGTTTGAAGTAGATATTTGGGGTCTTCAACCAATCAAGATACCAACGTTTTTTTTTTACAAATATCCAATCAAAGACATCCAGTTCAACACATACAATATACGTATACATATACATACACACTGAAATACTTGATCATGTACTCATCACAACAGCTAGAATATATGCATATATTTTGTTATTATGTTTTTAAGGAATGTTATTACAATTATCAAGAGTATAGACAACAACAGAATCAATAAAAACTAACAATCCAATTAAAAATCAAACGGCAATATTAACGATACGAGCGATAAGTGGAAAAATTTGAAAAGCGAACTAATTTTCATTGCGAGTTGGAAACACAAAATCCATATTTTATTTTTTATTGTGGGTCGCAGAAGAATCACAATCTTCTCAAGCATAAATTTAATTGAATAAATAATAACGAAGAAGTGAAGCGGATTGAACCGAATTTTATTCGAAGTTCAAACGGGGGAAAAAAACAAGAGCATCCGCCAAACAAAAGAAAATTATACAACAATAGAAAATAGCAAACAAAGCTTTCATGTTTGTTATACAATAATTGTTTTTATTTTTTATGATTCTATCGAAATGCCAAACTTTCATTTAATCCTGTTGCAATTTTAAACTCAATTCTCAAAACCAGAGAGTTTTTATAATGAACATCAAACAAATTCGTTCTCACAATTAATCAAAAACAACAACAACATGATAAATCTATTTGGAATTTAGCAATTTATTTTCAAAACATACAACAAACAAATTTACATAGTTAAGTTAAATCCAACACATTTCTGCATGCTCCATTTTGAAATGGAACTGAACTGAACAAATTCTACAATAGAATTGATAGTAATTTTCTTTGTTTTTGTTACATCACACACATACACAAGATATACGTTCACACATACACACACTTGAACACACACAGAAAAGCAGGAACCAGCAACGTCCAAATAGAATTTTCCTAACAAATTTACAATAGAACAAATTCCAATTTTATTTATAAAAAAATAGATACATATGAAATATATATTTTACGTATATATTTAAAAACAGAACGAAAACAACAACAACAACAACACATAATCAATCAAATTACCATCTGAATTGGATAAACAACGGAGCTAAATGAAAAACCAAAACAAAAGAAAACAAAGTCTAAAAAGCAATTTTGTTGATTTCATAAAAAAAAGAAAAACAATGCAAAACGCATGACCTAATACGGTGAAGAAAAAAGGCAGATTTTTTTTTTTGCTTACTTTTAATAGTTGAAACTCAATCCTCAAGAGATTCGTCTTAAAATGACAGTGGACAAGTACAGAAACAACCGGATGAAAATATGCAGAAAACGAAGAAAAAACAACAAACTCCATTTTGATTATAATGCGAGAGACACTTTATTATTTCATGGACAAACTTATAATTTTTGATTGTTTTGATTTTACGATTTTTTTGAAGAAAAAAAAATGTGTTAATTTTGTTTTATGAAACTTGTATCTTTTGACATTTTTGGATGAGAAATTGAAGTAAATCCTTTTCTTTCTTTTAAAATTATTATGTTTATGATATTTTCGTTGAATCGTAATTTACATTATATTATTATTATTATTCATGTTTATTTCATTTAAACTTATTTTAAGTTACGTTTCATTTTAATTTAACGAATTTTGGCCAAAGTGTAAATTACACACACTCATTCACATTTTTCGCATAATATTTCATTAAATAAGTAACGTTTTTTACTCAATGTATTGATTTTTCTATATACTTTCGGCAAAGAAATCCATTAAGGAAGAAAAAAAAAATACAATTTTGTCAAACTAAACAAAAAGAAGAAAAAAATAATATAAATACTACTAAATTAATCATGTATTTGGATAAAAGTATAAAAAATTTAGAGATATTGCATGTTTGGAATTACCCAAAAAAAAAATTATGAAAAAAAAATTATAAAAAAATTCATTATTATAGCACTAGTTTGTAAGATTAATGCATTCGAGTCATATTTTCTGCAAGCGGAGTACCAAGCGAATTGTTGCCCAGTTCTCCATTCGTTGGGTTAACAATGCGCAACGGTACATATTCGCTGGGAGGGGGTAATGAAACAACGTTTGGTTTTGACATTGGCAAACAATCTTGCCACAAGACATAATGATCACACTTCCATCGTCAACAGAGTGAGGGAATGAAAAATGTCACAAAATCACAATTAAGCCTATGTCGACGAGGCTGAATTCAATGAATCAATTTCAGATCACTGAATTTCGGATTTATCAATATCGAAGAAGAAAAAAACATAGTATTTCGGCTCTTTCTATTTTGGCTTATTTATAATTAACACACATTTACGAGTAGATCGTATTAGATGTATTAAATTCAAAACAAGCAAAACAAAAACATTCAAAGTAAAATCTATTTTTTTTTCGTTTTAAATTTTAAAACTAACTGTGCGTCTTATTGTTATGTTCGATGCGCTTGATCCATCACAACAGTGCAACGGACAAACATACACAGATGCCAAAAAATCACGAGCTCTAAGGAATTGAATAATTCACACATTCAAAAAACAAAACTAATGGAAGTATTTTATATAGAAAAATTTCAACAACAAAAAAAAAATAAAACAAACAAAAATCGAAACTCAAATTTTTTATATGTTTTTATGATTAAAATGCGTAAAAAAATTGGTTATGCGATAATTGAATACAAATCGGATATTTTATTAATAAAAAAAGAAACAAGAAAAAAAAAACAATTGAAATATTTATGTTGATGGATATGATATCGAATATATCAAAATTGGAATTAAAAAAATGATGTAAAATTGAAGTATTCAGTTCTTTAGGCGGTTTTTCTTGTATTGTGCTCTCAAGAAGATAATGGATCGGAT